ACATGACCAACTTTGCAATAAGATGCATGGCTTTGTGTCTCCCAGCAGTATTAACGTCTCCCTCGTTTTAAGTAAGGAAGGGATTAATTTCGACTCTAATTTAAAGTCTATATATGAGAGATCCCAGACACGATTTCTGCACTTTTACTACCCGGAAATTTTATGGGTAGGCTAAAATTCATGACATGCCCAAGAACAAGGTCTGCTTTACATATCTATCTACTTTTACTTGCGGTTTTGTTACATGCTATATATTTATTTTCTCGACTTGTTCATGACCTTGAGGGGCTTACACTTTCATTCCAACCATGCAAACCACTACTTATTTAATAAATATTTGCAAATATAATTGTAATAATTGCACACTAAAATGTAATAAAGACTGACTCGCAAAAATGAGCGAATGAGCGAGTGAAAAGCAAAATCAACCTGTAACGTGGTGAGTACGTGTACCATGTAATCAGCAGTAACAGGCGGATTGCGTGTATATATGGAAAAACTATGTATGCATAACCTGTCATACATCCATCAAGTCCAAAAAGTCCCATTTGCATTCGTCGTTCCTCTCTTAACAATTTTTCAAAAAAGTCTCTACACCCGAATCACAAAGGTAGCCTAACCTTGATTACCTTTTTCTCACCAGCACCACCACTCCCACACCCACCTACTGCGAGACACATGCAACGTAATGCAACCCGCGTTATGGCTGTAATTTGTATTCCAACAACAATTCCTCCATAGGTGAAAGGCACGAAGACTTTCTCTCTGAAGGGTCATAAATTCAAAGCCAAAAAGAAAAAGAAACGTTACAACGGAGGGACAAAAATGCTGAGAAATGATGTAACAAATCCAGTCCTGCTGCAAAACATGCCAACACATCCTCCTCTTCCTCGAGAAAAAAAGAAAGAAATGGAAAACTGTAAAGGTGATATTGCTCCATGAAATGCTTCCTGAATACAAACAACGGTTAATTTCACACCGTCAACATTTCCCTTCACATGTACTCATGTCTGCTCTGTCGTATTTCTGCCGAAATTTTTTTTGAAGTGCAGAAACACCACACTTTCCCACAGCTTGATTTCACTACAGGGCTGGCTGCCCGTGTAGATTGTTTCTTTATGGGGCGATTGGATGGATGATGGGTACCTACATGTGTAGGATAAATATCAGTGGCTGCGGAAGCTGGGGGGACATCTGGGACGTAATTATTGTAGGATATGGGAGGGAGGGGTTTGCATAACATGAGCAGATGATCGGGACATCGAATACCCGTGGGGACATTGTCCCTCTGTTCCGCGGCCACTGATGGATATGGATACATCCAATTTTTCGCAAGTCACCCAACAACAAAGGCACGGAGAAAGCTAAGACATTCAAACCCTGGGAACGTACCGTGTTACATGGAACATGCATTAGATGTTGTCTCGACTTGTTTTTATTATTTCTTTAAAAACTCCTCGTTTCTTCACAGTTTACAGGAGACGACAGCAAGGAAAAAACACCATCCGACTGAACTGAATACTGAAGAGGAAGGAAACTGTATGAATGTAGCAACAGTAATGTGATGCTCGAGTACAGACCGTACCAATTTTTAAGCCATAATTGCTCTCCATGTGATGTGATATGTGTGCAAGATTGAGGAACAAATCCTAGTCGTCACAAAACTGTTCATTTCTTTCCAACAAAGTAATGACTGCTTCCTTCCCGTGGTTTGCTGCTTGGTTTCCTCATGTAGCAGGCAGTAAAACGAAACAAATTATATTTTACAGGACAAATCCATCCCATAAGTTGAAAAGGCTAGTTATTTACGAAGCGAGACGAGAATTTGGTAGAGAGAGAGAGAAGAAGAAAATATCTGTGGTTTATGGGATCCGAGAGGTTTGGGAGGTCCAAATAGTTCGTGAAATGAGGCATAAATCTGCAGTTTATATCACTTCAAAATTTCAGGTTATGCAATTATTACGAAATAAAATTTGGAAAAGTATTGAAAAACTTGTTTTAGTAGGAAATGCATAATTCACGAAATGCTTTGACTCTTGGTTAAGACATCGTTTTACCCCGTTTTACACACACATTGCTCAAAAATCCGCTGTCCAAAGGGTGAGCTGAACGGTGGTCAAATCATTGGAGGACGAAAGGTCGTAAAAGTAACATATTTCAAAGGAGAGAAGAGCGAGAAAAAATATTCCGTGCAACGGAAATGACTTATGAAATTTATGGCCTATAAGATACCAGCAGCCCCATCACGGAAAGCATCATTCTCCCCACTCGCACACACGCGGTTGTTATCTAACCATTGCCAGAGAGAGAGAGAGATGCGACGCAATCATGATGCTACAAAAACTGGTGAAAGTTTCTGAACGATGGCAATTATGAAAAAAATAAGCACAGCGGCAGCACTACACCCATCAATTTTTTGTACCTAATACTTTCTCCACACAATTTTCGGACTCTACTTTACTGACAGTCGTTACCATTTTGACAAAAAAAGTGAAGAAATCATTTTTAATTGCAAACACTCATACCGCAAATGTCTAAGTTTTTCACTTGGACAAAATGAAGCCAAAATCGAAACTAAAACCGATACATTTTGTTTCTGTAAATGCGAAACAAGTGCAAATAATCTGCACGACTAAACTTGAAAGTTTTCTCGTTACGATATGTTCATGTACATGTACGTACATCTGCCAGTTTAGTAGCTAAGATAAGATCTCTTTGTTACGCGGTTGGTATCGAACAAATCAAAACTTTTGTTCTAACTTGTACACATTTCCCTTCATGATTATGTCCTTCTTTGGCATGGCTTCTTTCCACGTGTGGTTGGCGATTGTGGCATCGCAAAATAAGACACATATTTCGAGATTGCCCAAATTTCCTTCATCAAATGCATACTACAAGATAAGTTGTAGAGATTATTTAAGTATTGTGTGTATGTAATAGTAGTGGACAAAAAAATGTAGAATTCATCCTCTTATTGCCTTCAAGATTTAAGATGCCACATTTCTGAGCGAGCAGATTGTCAAACGACAATTTTCCCCGTAAAGTGCATAATGTGAGCTCGAAATCGCATGTGAAAAGGAAACGAAGACAATCACACGACTTTCCTTTTCGAGCTCTCCAGTCTCACATATTTGTCAGAGTCGTCTCTCTCCTTGGGAAACTTTCTCCTCTTTGTGAAACCATCCGTGGGGAGGAATTCAACCCGTTTGACTTCAACTTAATAAGAATGAACTCCTCTTCAGATTTCAATATCGGGCCACACACATTATTTGATTTTTCCCCCGTCTCCTCGAGTATCATCGTCATATTAGCAATAGAAAGAGTGGGATAAAAACGTCAAATGAACAGTTAAGTTGGGTTACATATGTTCCTCATATTTTTGTCAAAATGTTTCCAATCTCATGCATACGTAAAAAACTGAAGATCAGTCAGTCAGGTGCAGACTATTTTTAGAAATTCATTAAGAATCGGGAGAAAGTTATGTAAGAAGAAAGTTGTTGACTATTTTTGGTCTGATAAAGATCTCGCATGGTTTTAATCCCAAGTCCTCATCAAATACGTATGTCTGAAAATGAGACAAATTCCATATCCACTCGACTGCACAAATTCGACAGGATTGATCACTGCGGGAGGATGGGGATTTTTATTTCAGGATTTTTTTTATATATTTCAATTCAAATCCCTGCGGAGAACGTGGCCAGTTTTTATGGCCGTGTATGAATGAATCTGGTTCCATCCGGTAAAAATCTGGTTTCTGGCCAAGATAGGAAGTGGTCATATTTCGTATAACGGACCCTGCTGCTGCTGCTGCCTCGTCTTAACGGGTTACTCATCCCCCAAATCTTACTTAGTTTCACTCTCCAGGACTCGGGCCACCCGTAATAATTGAACTCTTGGAAGTGAGCCATGACCTCCAAGCTTACGTAGCTCGTGGGAGCCCTGTACGGCGTTCCTGTCAATATGGGAATTTGGTCGGTGTCATGTCGGCTGATCCGTTTCCTGCCCAGCTTAATCCACTCCAACGGACGAGACGAAGGACTAATCCCTCTTTTAGCGAGAAATTCCTTATCTTCGTCGTGCTTCCAATGTTCCAATACATTCTCTAAATTTCAATTAAGCGTCAATCCACGCTTAATTAGGGAGATGAGTTGATCCCGTCTTTCTACATGGGAAGCTTAAAGCTCGGCTTATCCAACCATGTTCGCAGGGTATTGTTTTAGTTGGGTCTTTCAATCAAAATTAAGCCACTTCTGACCCAAGATGGGCAGGACAGGTGCATTGCATACATTTGTAAATACGGAGAGAAATCTCGGAATTTCGATCAGCTAAAGCTGGAGTAAAAGCATGCACAGATTTGTTGGATTTAATTATTCGTTGGGCGAAATTAACGAATAATAATTTGTCGAATAATAATTTGTAGTACGATAAAAGAAAAGAAGGGACCTGGAAATACAGCATGACTTCACAAATCACAGCAAATACTTTATCGACGTAATAGTCTAACATTTGTGTAATTTAACTTTGCCATAATATTTTATAAATTATTGATAATTTGCCAATTTGTGCTGATACGTCCATTTATTTCGTCTCATTTACGTAATTACTTGCCCCAGATATGTATATATATCAATCCCATTTTAATTCTGGATAGAAAAACGGACATACTGTATAATTCAATCATCGGAGCCTTATTGTGTGCAAGGAATCTAATAACAATCCCAACAAAGATATGTATGGACTATTATCCACCTGCCAATTTGCTTTATTGTTGCCAATTCCTCTCCCAATTTTGGCAAGGATCCGACCCACCATCGAATCTGTTGGATCGGATAACAGTCCTTTGGAATTTATGTATGTATTAGAAACCTAATTTACAATCAGTAATTTGCTTCAATTACGTGATGTAAAGCCTGTAATTTTTTTATTCTGGTGGGTTTTTAACTTTGATGAGAAACTAATGAAAAGCATGAACGAATACAATTATTCTACACTATTTTTACCTTATTGTTCCTATTCGCTTCCTTAAATGTCACATTTCCGTTCGTCTCAGGATTCTCAGAATTTTTGGGGCATTTTTAGAAAAACTTTAGAAACACAGTCATTTTACCACTCTTGGCACAACTGTCACCAAAAGTGCAGCGTTTTCAATGCCTCCCGAATCAAACGTCCCCTTCAATTTGAATCCTTTACAAAATTCCGACTTATTCAACCGACTCAAAGCAAGACGCGTCTCTTCTCCCTTCTTTGAAAGGAAGACTGTGTAAACAAAAGTTGCAATGCAGTTACAAATTTTGCCAATTTACATCCAAAGTTCGCAACCTTAGTTATTTTATCAAACACTTGTCACCTCAGCAGAATTATTATTTCGGCGGAGAGAGAGAGAGAAGAAATGACTCAGCTTGCTAACGAGGAGCCGACACGAAGAAAGACTGATCTCCTGGAAAACACAACCGTGCTCACTTTCTCGGTGAGAAGAATGTATATGCAAATAGACCAAGTAGTGAAACCTGGCTTTAGTTAAGATCTTTTGCCCAACTTTGTAAATTAACGGTGAGAAAGCCTCAGATTTGAGGAGAGCAGACTTTGTACAACAATGGGTGAAAGCAAGTAGGTAAAGGAACGAGAGAGAGAGACACGTTGTAGACCAACCGAGTTATCAACTTAAACTGAAGAAAAGCACGCTTTCTCTCCGGAGGAAAAGAGCGAGTCCAATTCCGCGAGAATGTTGTTAGCATGCCAGTTGGGTCTCCTTCTGGCTGGTGAGACTGCTACTCCAAAATCCACCAACCGACCAACGCGAAGGAACCACTTGAGCCCTCTTCTTCTCAGGAATATTCGATGGCGACGATCAAGAATGCAACAGAACGACGCAAGTGTGCTCCCTTGACTTTTAGCCTTATAAATTTTCCTCCAAGAGGCAAATTGGACCGGAGAAGAATGGAGGATTGCGTTAGACTTTCACTCATTGCAACACAATATTTAAACATGGATTGCATTACATGCATGCACTAACTCCCATGGCGGTGGCAGTGACACGGAATTGCGAAACAGGGCGACAAATGCTGCGCGTGCATTATAATCCCGAAGGTTGCCCAGAAGAAAGTGAATTATGCTCCGTATTCATCAATTTTGAGTGACGGCAGACTTTTTGCGTAACATATTTTCGACGCGTGGAGCTTATTTGAGTGTTGAAAATAGATCCAGTCAGTCATTACGGGTGAAATTTGTGACAGTAATGAAGATACGATCAGATGAGATGGATCCTGCTCTACTTACTTAACTAACTGATCCATCCTTCGGGAACAAATTAGGTAACTCTGAGCACAAGCTCAAATCTTTCCACAGAATTTATTAAGTCAAACCCGACCAAACTTTTAATGAGATTAGCAAATTCGGTGAGTAAAATGGGCAGAATTTTTGGCACATACACACACATTCGGCTTCGTTAAAAGTGCAATGTTCAAAGGTACCCACAGAGAGAGACCACCAACGATCCAATTATAGAGTCACGTGGGCTGTGAGTATGTATGTAAAGACCTTTCTCCTGATTAAAAGCGCTCTTCCTTTGTTGAACCACAAAGTGTGGAGGGCTCTGTTTTTTGAATCTTGTGTATGTATTTACAAACTAATTTATTTAGCTGGTTTTGCTTGCAGGGGGACAAACTACGTCATTTCATTCATTCATGAAAAGGGTGAAAGTCATCACTTATCTTATTTTTGTCGTGACAAGGAGACTAATTTCCATGACCAGACCAGCATGATGTGCAATCTGCCTGCACAACTTGTCCTTAGATGTATAGGTGGATGGATGTACGTAAATATGTGTCTACTCCTCCATACACTTTTAGTTGATTTGACCAAAATATTTTTGCTCTGCATCATCATTAGTACTACTTACTTACTTTTCGTCTGTGGATGGGTTACTTTTCTCGAGATGGATGAATATGAAGAGAAAATAGAATTATGAATGACGTCCTGGTTGAAATGAATTCACAAATTTTAGTCCAACCGTGGTGAGCAGAAGCTTGTTCACATATTTGGACAAGAGATCCGCCCTGGATGGATGGATGAAGAGATCTATGGAGGGATTCATTCAATATTATTATTCCAACGGTTGAAAGAGATTGATAATAATTTTGTCCATCCGTTCGGAGTGGTTTACACACGAGGGACGTGTTATCCCCATCATCACTCATGCTTTCACCACCACCAAATCCGTAGTGGACTAGTCCATCATATTTACTCGATGGTAATAATAACTACCCAAATCCCGAGGTAAGGTTGCATGAGCTGTGGCTTCACAGATTTCACTTTGTTTTACGCATATCGAGTTTTCTCCTCTCGGGAAATAAAGAATGATTGAATGCGTTATTATTATTATGAACTCGTGACTAGCACGATATCATCTGACACATTTTATCAGAAAAACATGCAAACTCGTGCGTATTACTTAAGCCTGCCAATTAATGTGATAACTTGTCTATCGATCTCTCTCTCTCCCTCTCCTTATTAATTATCCTTACTCCTTTGTCAGTTTTTCGACCGGTGTTCAAACCAGATAAAGGAGTGGAAGGTACATAAAGTAGAGAAAAACTGTGCCTGGAGTGGATTTTGTCCATGTTTTTCTGTAATGTGTAAGTATGTATGCATAGAAAATGTTATTAAAGTTTGGACAGATCAGTTCTGCCTCTGATGATTAAAAGAAAGTGAAATAATGACGGACTTTTATCCAGCAGCAGTATTACGAAAACCAGGCCTGGATATTTTAATGAGTCGAAAAGTTGATGTCTGTCAAAGCGAAAAGTTGGGTGAAAGTTTGTTACACTCGGATTTCGCGTACGTGTCAAAACCACCTTGTGTGCTGTGCATACATACACAAAATTCGACATATGCCAATGAATCGCATCTCATTAAAGTGCTTATCACGTAGTCACATTTATCTGCATATTTATCTCCCACATAGCATCGCACCATTATCGCAGAAGAGTTCATGTTGTTGATTCGGTTTTGATTTCAAATCTGGACTAATAGGAAGCCTGCTTCCGTTCATTTCTGGATCATGGGTGGGAGTTAGTGATTCGTAAACAGGGTAAACAAACCGTGCTACAAATTAAGGACGTTACGCGTGTAAATATACACGTGTCCTATGTAAGAAACATTTTGTGGTTGATTGACACGGGTTATCTACTTGTTTTCCTCAAATTTTGCACCAAAACCTGAACTGTTACATGATGATTCCGCTAAATTTATACGGGTCCAATATCCAATCTAATTAAAACATTGGTTGCATCAAAAGGACACCAAAATTTTTATGTAAGGTCAAAAGTAAAACTATTCTGATCTTTTTCATCATCATCCCATAATAATTTGACCTTTAAGAATTTCTCTCATCCAATCAAAATCCAATTCTACTTTACTTACATATTTAATTCCAATTCTCATGATGATGATGGAAATAGGCAATCAAAATCTCGCTCTGCCAGTGACAGCAGATATGCGCGACAAACTAATTATAATACTAATCCATGTTTAAAACAAAGCAAAATAAGTAAGTGCATCTCAGCAGGCGGGCTGAGGTGTGTGGGCAGGTAGGTACGTTCGTGAATATGGTCACGGAGGCTGCAAAATCCCAAAATTTCTCAATTCTGCATAGCCAACCTTATCGTATGATAACGACGCCTTAATATTGTCCCTAACTTCCCCCATCGCATCGAAGGCTCATCTCTCCACAAAATTCACACAATTGCATCTCACCCAACACGGAAATCACATTAGTGCTCGACAAACCAGACTCGTATAATTTTGTACGACCGTACATAAGAGTGCGCATTAAAAGGTAACATGCTCATCCAAACATTTGCTTTCTCCTCCTTTACAAATGCATGCAGTCCCACAGCGGAGAGTGCAATTCGTCGAGTGGAGGACTTGAGACAAGCACTTGTACTTGTTTTCTACGGAGCTAATGGCAGTGCCGAATGGGAAAGTTTGGTCGTCAGTCGTGACAGAAATCTCATCTCTTCAATTCATTCATGGCCTAATTATACACGGGTTTTTGGTTTCCCTGCGACTAGTACCGAGTTACCGACTAACCATCGCCATGTCGTTTCTGTACGTACATTTTAACTGCACGTAGCTCCCTTAAAACAAAAGGAGAGATAACCATCAACCTAGGAGAACAACTGTATAAAACTGTATGAATTCAGGTGAAATGGAAAAACTTTGAAATGTGAAAGGTCGTCGTTGACGAAACAGATGCAGAGTGGGAAGGACAAGTTTGTTCTCTTATAAGAATTCTGGGCCTGCCTGCCTTATTATTTTCGTCATTATTTTCCCCAATACTTTTCCCTGACTTGAAATTAAAGTCGGAAATCAGGTCCGTGTCTTCCTTATTGTTTATCATTATCATCGTCGTCATCATCATCATTACAACTTCCAATCTCAAAAAAGATGATGATTATGATGTTCCTTTATGATTGCCAGTTTTTTTGTCATGCTTGTTTTTTTTGCGTTGTGACAAACAACATGAAAAAAGATTTTCATATTTGTCAACTGATTCACCTTTACCCTTTCATTTTCTCGTCTTTGTTGATAATGTCATTTTTGTCGTTTAATCATTTTTTGATTGAATCACCCAATAATTTCATTTTCTGGTCGAGTCTCAAACAAAATCAGGTTCGCATTGTCTGCTTTGTAGATTTGATTTCTGATTAAAGTTGTGCAATCGAGTTCTTTTTTATATTCTTGGCAGAAAGAATAATATGCTTGGGTGGCTTATTTTTGATAAGTACTTATCTCTTCCTTTCTTTGTGGATGGACTACTTGAATGGGAGAGAGCTTAGCCACTTATCGTTTAATACAGAGATTTCATCTTTGCGTAGATTTGAGTATTTTTGATCTTGTATTAATTTTGTGCTTGATGTGGGCAACGTCGTCGTTTGAAGAAGGCAATTTGTATGATGGAGGAAACGTTGGATTATTGATCCCAAACAAGATTTTGCCTCGTGTCAATGTCAAGTAATAAATTGTGTGGGCTAAAATATTCATAAAAATAGTTACAAAAATTGAAAATACGTCAAATCTTGGCGTCAATAAAGAAAATAATTATGCTTGCAATAATTTTTTATTTGTTTGCAGATGAGAATTAAAACTGGCAATAATTATTATATTCCAAAAACACGTGGAAATTTATCAATAGAAATTTCCAGCAGGGCAGCAGGAGCACCAACTAACCGGAAGTATAGCTGGGTGCAGTTGGATAGGTTGGCGTCCTTGGTTTGTCGACATTTGGGCGAAAGTCACTTTCTGCTGCGTATTAATATTCACCCAGTTGCAAAGGTGGCCAGAATATGTTCCATATCCCATCCCGGCACAGGTACAGCTCTGGTCTGGCGTACAGGCCACTTTGTAGGATGGGTTATCCAATGGGTCGGGCTAATCGAAAAAGTTGTATATACACATTGGAAAAACAAACTTGGATTGACAATAAAATGACGATTATGTAACTCACAATCGGTCCAGGACTGCACCGTTGTGCTGGACACTTACACCCGAACGCGTAGCTGATTGAGGTCGGGGCGTCGGCAAAGCTGTTGAACGGGACACAGTGACCTTAACGGGAAATAATCAGACAATTTTACAAACAGCAAATATTATGACGACAAAATGCCTACGCAATAAATAGTCACGAATTATATCTACCTCCGCAAGTTGGTCCGCACATTGCATTTCCCAGAGTGGGTCGATCTCCAAATATTTGATGGAGAAAGGACCCCGTTCTCACACTTTGGATCCCATTACACTCTAAAATCCCTGCCTTTCCGAACAATTTGTTAGCTCCGGCGATTAACTTGTCGCCCAAAATACCTCGTAAAAGGTGTCCTCGCTCTTCGTGGTGTTCATCCGTTCCTAAAGCTCCAACGGTAACGAGACCCTGTCCACATCCATACACTTTCGCATGTTAAACCCAAAATACTGGCAACCAATTAGACACAATTCCTTACCAAAGTCAAGATCAAAGTCTCCACACGCATTTTGAGTAGCAGCAGAGTTTTTGCAGGCGTTGTTGGCCGAGAAATTGTCGTCCTACTTCCGTATCCTTTTACTCCCAGATTCGGAATGATGCCAAGTTTTTGAAGGGCATACGAGTGAGTTGTAACCCTGATCTTCATCGTGAAGTAACCTTCCTCCAACACATGTACATACATATACAACCACCACGCTCTGTATTGTTTGTCGTATTATTATTGTTGTGAAGGGGCGACCCTGACCCTGACCTGTTTCATTTAGAGAAGTATCTGTAAAGTGAACGAAAGTGAAATTGACTTGATGACCCCACACTCTGCATTGTTTATGGTATTACGTATTGTTGTCAAGAGGCTTCCCTGACCCTGACCTTCGTAGAAAGTGAACGAAAGTGAAATTGAGTTTACATTAGATGACCCTTCACAATAAAAGCCTGCAAAGTGGAGATGCATTGTTGCCTCGAAATTAAGAGTGATGGATATAATATCATCCTAGCCCTACCTGCGTCTTATTACTTACTCCTAAGACTTCCCAATTCTCTGCCCTTGAACTAATTTCTCATCATTTCCTCCCATCCAGACAAGTCTCTCTTCCAGGAGCGAGAGAGAGCCATTGTCAAACTCGGAGTGAACAGTAATAGGCCATCAAATTCAATTATTGCGAAGAAGAAGAAGACCTTTTCGATGGATAGGAGGCAACGGCAACCTTGATCTTTCCCATTCCATTCGCTCCAAAAGAGAAGATCAGAAATCTATTCAACTTGACTGACTGATTGGCAATGGTTCCATTCAGGATGAACTATACGAAGCACCACCGCTGCTGTACCTGGCACATCAATCTTCTTATTTACCCACCGAGAGAGATGGACTCTGAGGAGATTTTGGCATAGACAAAATTTCAATTTAACGTCCCATCCATCCATCCATCCACTCTGGCTTTTATTAACGCAGATGAAAACTTCAGCCTCTCCGGAAAATTGTGCATAATGGGAATGAAGCTACTGGCAAAGTGCAATTTGTCCAGATTTCACGAAACATTATTCAATTTGAGGAATAAGTGTCGCACGCTGTTCCCAAATTCTCGGACAGTTTGCTCATTTGCTAAACAGTAAACTGAACTACATACATACACGGGTTGAACGAATAAAATCGGAACCAGCAAGTGTTTGCATACTGTAATCGGAAACGCTGCTCGTTTGTGGCTTGGCAAACCTCGAAGGGTTTGAATATTTTATGGAGCACTTTGGTCCATTTTAAGAGCGACTAAATGCACTTTACGGGTGAACTAAATGGCCTCGTGTGGTACTTTGGTGGAGTGATTTGGATGAGAGTTGTGTAGTGCATTTTGGATTCCGAAAACATTTTTTAATGTATGCAGGTATGACACATTTTGTGTCATGTTTTCATAAAAAAACTGTCAAAAAGTCACGCATCGTGTAATAACTGACAGAATACAAAATTTCAAGAAGTCCAATTACGGACGGACAAAATATCAACCTTATCAATAAACAAATTCTTAAAAAAAAGCTTAGGTGAGGCTTGCTTAAAAGAGTAAAACAAGTTGTTATCATCGTGTAATAAAATAATATGCTAAATCAATGTTCATCTCACAATTTATAATTTTCGGTAAAGAGAACAGCAAATTAAATGCGTTTGAGACCATTTGCCTCGCCGTGGGCCGTTTTGTGATACAAAGAATTAAACTAAATTTCAAAATTCATTAGTGCTCAGTGGCAGAAAATAATTCATGTGGGATGATACGGGATTTGGCTACATTCGCTATTCATAATCGATTGCTGATCAAATTTACAAAGCGTGCGTTCATTTATTACAAAATATCATATTTCAGAACACTGATTTGCTTTAACTTCAGCTGGTTTTAGAAGTATATTTATGCAGCTAATGAAAGATAATAGTCAAATAGTAACGAAGTTCAATTATTGCAATAGTTCATATTTAGTTATAATCAGTAGAAATGGTATATTTGTATTGCACATTTAATCACGGCCCACGGCGAGGCAAATGGTCTCAAACGCATTTAATTTGCTGTTCTCTTTACCGAAAATTATAAATCGTGAGATGAACATTGATTTAGCATATTATTTTATTACACGATGATAACAACTTGTTTTACTCTTTTAAGCAAGCCTCACCTAAGCTTTTTTTTAAGAATTTGTTTATTTTTTGTTTTGAAGCCTGTAAGTAACCAAAAGTGCCTACCAATACCAAATTAACTAATATCAACTATCCCCTTAGGGGTATGGATACGTTGCATACCAAATTAATTCCCCCATAAGTGTGAATGATTGTGTGCACTATTAGAAATCAGGTACATACATATATAAATATTCACACAGGGATTAATTTCTCGGTATAACAGTTATTACCGCTAGGTATTAAAATTATACCAGTGCGTAAGTCGCATATGAATACCGCTTGGTATAATTTTAATACTGGATTCCTAAGGGTGTGCCAAATTAGTTTCCCCTGTGGGTGTGGACTCAAAGTCCGAGTGTGCATCAATAGTATATATACACATGCACAGGCATGTATTTACATACGCAAGTTACTTGTTTCTATTGTGCTGGTAGCTAATGGAAACCATGCAGTTATTTATGATAAGTAATGAACAACCATTATACATAAGTAACGTAACTGGTTGCAGATACCACCAAGAAAAGTTTTTCATTTCTTATCCGATTTCGCTCGGGTTTGCTTTAAATGACGCGTTATAGATTTCTGCATATGAAAATTAAGGTCCCGCACTATCATTGCATGGTAAAAGTGAATTTGCCAGTCATTTGAAAGTTTAAAATCGATTTTAAATGCGCTAAAATAAGATTGCCATGTCCCTCGTATTGACGGGCATCATCTACTCAGCAAGGTCTGCACGATTGCCTTTTACACCATTTTGATACGATTAGCCGTTTTGCCACAATCTTTGGCAGAATATTTGGAGGGGGGGTCTGTTTGCATACTAAGGCTTCGCCGTAACCATGCATTTTTTCATGTGGTCATGGTTACTATGCCTCACCTAAGAAAAACACTACTAAAACTTGAATGCTCATAATAATCAAAAGTACGACACTAATAATTGGAAAACGTCCAAAATTAAAGCTTCGAAATGAATGCAACTTATTATTTCATAGCTCCATTACCCACCCAATCGTTCCAAGGTCAAACCTATCTACACCCAACGGTCATAAAAATATTTTGGGGTACACATAACTTCCAAGAAATTTAGCACAAATGACTTTCCGATGCAGTGGATCCGTTTTATTTGGGGAATGTGCGAATTAGACTTATCTCACCGTATTAAGAATGGAATCTCTCCAATGCAATATCGACTCCACAAAAAGACATTACGCAATAATATTAGTACGTCGATCAAAAATGTGGTGGTGGGTTAGTCGTCAGGGACAAGGAATTTTATCTCGGAAATGAGATTTTTTTTACCGCAAACACACATTTTCCACGGGTCCTGGCAGAAATTAAAATCCGCGTCTTCTTCCTTCACCTCCCCATTTTTTGTAACGATGCAATTCAGCAAGAAATATGGCACCCTACACAAAGCATAACATTAGCCTAATGGCACACTCAACCTTCGCAACTGGGGCCTCTTTATAAACACGGATTAATAAAGGACAAGCAGCAGGATAACCTTGAAACACGGTTACACCTCATTTCTCACACCTTACAGCAATTACCTACCTACCTACTCCATGCACCTTATCGTGGTATGTATCCCTTAAAAATTGTGTGTCTCCTCAGGGACCCATGCCTCATATGTAGAAAGAATTTGAGAAATTCCATCCAAAACCTGTGATATCCATGCAGAGAAGAAGAAGAAGAACGAGTCAAAATCCGAATGGTCCATTTCTCATCAACTTTCACCAGTGGTTCGCTACACAACGGGGGGAAGATGAGGAAGGGAGGAGAATAATCTGGAAATCTCTCTCCGGTGGGGTCGGTTATGGGTATTCTTCTCCGCTCTAAACGGCCCATAATGGAAGACAAACTGCCACATTTTCTACCCACTTTCCTCCTTAAAACAGGCCCTGAAAAAGCTGGCGAAATCTAATCCAATCCTGTACACGCTGCTTCTTTCTTTCTTTCTTCTTGATGAATATTCCGCTATAATTTTACTCTTATAAATTACTGCTGCTCTGCTCCTTCAAACAATAGCTACAGCGGAGAATAAGCTTGTTAAATATGGAGAAAAGCAAGGGTCCGCCCGTCCTTCTTGTTGAATGAAATGAAAATATATAATGGTCGACTCTACATCTTCTTATTATGCAATAATGTGCCTCAAAGAAAGCCTACAGATTCTTATTCATCCCCATTTTGAGATAATGGCTCATTTTCGGAATAGCTGGAAGAGTAGGTATAATCCTCCCGTATTATTAAACGACTACAATTTCGAACATGCACACTTTTCACTCCAACTTCTACATAAAACTAACTTCCATACACGTCCAAAATTCGGAACGGTTCATTGTTCTCGACAGAATGAATGAGTGACAAATCCTGTTCTCCAAGTTAGCAAAACAAGGCGGGTGAAATGGATGGATGGGCAAATCCTGGAATTCTATTGAGTCGAGGGAGAGTAAATAGTCTAATGGGACCACCGCATGGTAGAGAGAGAAAATAATTCTACGAATCTCTACTACTTTCCTGCCCAATGTGTCCAGTCCAGTCGTAGTGGTTTGGGTACATACATTATTTTGTTCGCCTTTTGTATATCACGTTACTCACTTATCCACAATGGAATGCAGCACCACCACCACCACCACCGAACCCAGCCCAACCGAGATGAAACAATGTGATCAGACAGCATCTCTCTCATTCCGAGAAAAAATCCAATTTGATTCCACTCCATCAACAGAAAGAAGAAGAGAAAGTATGCACTTCTCTCTCGAGTGGTTAGCAATTTCTGTTTCCCATTTCCACCCGATTTCTCCATGTCGATACATACCTCACTTTCTCCACTTGTTCCGGCTAATTCGAAAAAAGTCGTCTATTAAGACCCGCTTCGTTGCATGGAGGAGGGAGTGTCTGGATACTACTTTGTTCACCTATGTATGCACTCCATCCGTCCAATTTGGCCACTCTTGTGCTCCCACTTGTCGACATCTCTCTCTCCAGATTTAAGAGGATGATGACGAGGAGGCAGAAACCAGACAATGTTTTATTCCTATTTCCACTTGAAATGCACTCCTTGCACTGCTTCAAATTATTATTTTCAAGAGAAAGAGGCTGATGAGCGGGGTAAAGTTTTTTTATAGCTTGGTCCCCCGAAATGCTTTCACCTCTTTCCTAGTAACATACATACTTATTAGTACGCGGCATCATCGTCGTCCATCCATCCATACATTCATAGGTACGAGTGCTCTCCCCCTTTGAAAGTTCATTGCCTGGCTGGCTGGATTTCGCTTGGTTGAATTGTATACGATGTGAACCTTGTTCAGTCAAGAGCTTAACTTGCATTTACTTCTCGGGTGAAAGTGGTGGTACGTATAGCTGGCCTGCTTTCTTTATTCCAGTCATGGTTGGGGAGACAGAAGGAGAAAGAAACCCCACCACGATGACTACGTACGTATGCATGTACTCCATAGCAGCCAACTAGAAAGTCGAGATTGTAAGATGGAATGTAGGACCACCACTTTTCAAGAGTGTGATCAAAGATAAAACTTTTCTTTTTACATCATTCCACTTGGTTGATCTGACCTCGCCTGCTTTCTCCTCCACTTTCTCTCCTTATTCACCACCACCGGAACTATTTCCCAGGACAAGGATATACTTACCGGCACCGCAATTAGTTTTATTCCAAATTATTTACCACCTCCAATTCCGAACCCGCTACACGCATATACTTATCCGAAGGCTTATCAGAAAGTTGAGTCGTGGCTACACTAAAACAAACTTTGCTCTCCTCCCGGAAGACTGGCTGCTTTATTACTTACAGCTCTCCTCCTCGTTCGGCTGGATGAGCAGGAACGATTCCCACGACGTCTTGAGAAAACTACATTTATGGCTTGCTTACTGATTAGCATGATGAAATGGAGATGGAAATAATGATGATGGTTCGTGATCATTGTGAAGGAGCAGATTGCAGACGACGTGTCTGGCTCTCAAAATAAGGTGACTACGTGTATATCAGGTTCCTTATTTATTCCGCATAAAGAAAAAAAAACGGGGCGACGAATTTTATGATGGTAACTGCTTATCCTGAGATAAAGTGCGATTTTAAGTAGCAATTTATTTTCCGCGTGTATATCTATAGTACAAACATCCATCCACCTAAAAAAAGAAACGATATCCGGCTGGGTATCCCTCATCTTCTGAAAAGAAAAGCTCTTTCGCAGACCGGTGTCGCTGATCTTTGTTCACGTGTCGAGATTGTGCTCGCCGCGTGTGCATGCATGACTTAGGAGAAAGTTTTATATGTAAAAGGAGTGGATTTTTCTCCGCCTATTCTTTCTCACCAGGACTTTAAAAGCTTTCGTTAAATGGATATTGAACGTTTTTTTTATCTCGGAGTGATCCCGATCGTGCGTGCAGAGTGTCCTGGCTGGCAGCATGTGGTGCATGGGGTGGCTGGGGTCCATGTGAAGGCTGACATTTCGCAACGATTACTTTTTTCAACACGTTTATTTGACATTTTATTTGATAGAAGTTATACATGACAGTTCAACTTACGGTTAGAAATGTTGGGTCCAATTTATAAAAAAGAAGTTGATGCGATTTTTTTATAATATAAGAATAAAGTACATACATAATTTGCACGTTGTAATAATGGTAATAATCTCCTCGTTTCAGTTGTGACAATAAATTTACATGTTTTACTATTATAATTAAAGTTGCCAATTTTTCCTAATAACTAGTAATTTGAATAAGGTGAATTTTAGACTACGCAATCCAGGAAACTCAAAAAATATCTGTATGATGACAGCAATTATGTAAATATGTTAATTCTAATAATTAAATACTTATTAAATAGTTAATCTATTACAGATATACAATTCAGGTCGCATTTACATGATGCGTCACACTGTACTGTAATTAGCACCAAAAGATCAATATCAATAATTCCAACAACAATGTCCTGGAAATTTCAGTGAGTACATGAAATAAGATACAGATCTGTATTTTGTAATTTATAAATTCTAAACTTTTCTTCAAAAAGTGAAGAGTGCAATATCTTAGATTGTATAGACATCCACTTTACATAATTAGTCAAATAGCTCATCATCACAGTACATAAATATCTCTGTCCTAAACTTTTGTTCATATTCCTTACTTATCTTGACGATTATTTCTTACGTAATTTTATGTATATTCAGCAGAGGTAAATGTGTAACAACCCTTCATATTTACATTTGGGTTGTGCCGCTTAAAAGATAAACATCAAGTTATTTATTTAAGCAAAGTTTACACCCACATACAAAAAATATGAAAGCTGATAACCACCGAGAAACCACTGGAACAAGTCCCGTGTGCCCGATTGACCCACTTTTTTTAAAAGTTGCATGTGTACACACCAACTCATGCACAATAAGTAATATGTGTAGCTCATCCATCCGAAAATTATGTCCAAGAGGACGTGGAGTGCCTGCTTGTTATGGATGCGATAGGGTACGATACGATACTAAATACCTTTAATCGTCTCCTTCAACAGAGTATCCTTTTCCGAAGTCACAGAATTGCTGGACTCCAACTTCCTCTGCGTACGTGGAGCACCGCCCCCGGTATCCGACACTTTTGAGCCTTTGATCAAATTGGTGGCAGCCGAGGATGCGTTGGTTTTACTGTTCGTCGCGGCGGACCCTGCTCCTCCGACGATCGTGGTGTTGGTGTTGTTCTTGTTGTTAATTATCATGTTGGACGCACCACCGTCCTTCTCAATGGCGTTCCTTCCAACGCCGGTGGGTGTCTCGGAGCGAGATCGAGTACCATTTCCTGCGAGTGAAAAGGGAAAGTATGACGACGATTTATTTAATGGATAGAGGGGGAAACAGAAGGCTGAATTATTATTCTGTGGGTGGGTGGTAATGGCCCCATTACTCCGAATAAATACCTAACTGTTCATTTCCTTTTAATAAAGTTGGACAATATCGGGAGAGATGGCAATGGCGACCAGTGGCCGCGGAAGCGTACGTGGGGACAGTCCCCACGGGTATTCGATGTCCCCATCATCTGTCCATGTTATACAACCCCCCCCCCCCCCTATCCTGCAATGTTACTCTCCCCACAGCTTCCGCGGCCACTGGTGGCGACTGGCGAGGGGCTTGGTAACAAAAAGCCGATGTGATTACTTGCTGCTTATTTATTTTAAGTCTCTCCTGCTCGAAGGCGGAGTAGAACAAGTGATAACTTGCTACATGTAAGATGGCACTATTTATTTGTGTATTTATTTACCTTGCGATGTGACCGAGACATAAACGGGACGATACAACACCACAGAATCTCCATTTTCTACAGAGCCGTCGTAAACTTGCCCGAGTTGAAATTCAGGTCCGATGTACATCCCTCCTTCAGCAATCTCTGATGCCACGTCTGACAAAAGTTGGTATCAAATTAATAACAAAAACCATATAACCAAATAAACAGGTACATACACACTATATGCAGATACATCATCCCATAATTTCTTACCATACTGAATCGCCGGCTGTTGAGTAGAATTCGGAATGCGAAACGGAACGGTGGCAATGCTATGGAACACAGTGCATAAATTATGCATTTGAAATGTAGCAAATTTGAGAATTTCCCATATTTTAAGTATTATTACGTGATGGGGAAGTGCATTTGTAAATCTTCGCCCGATTTCTCCAGCTCGACGCTCACCTAGACAAAAGGAGAGAAGAAAGAGTAAGTCCTCGTGTTATTAAAGAACATGAATAAGAATCAAATTTGTCATCGCGTTAAGTGAGTGGCGTGGAGAGGAGGAGGCATAATACTCGTCATTATTTTAACGCCGCGACGTTATTCATCCTCCTCACCCAGTTGGTACATTTTCTCCAGTGGGTATTGTCTATTTGGCGAGAGTGGGTGTGTTGGAGGCATTCGTCGCCTGCCCTACTTTCTCCCCAGAAGGCATGACTTTCTTCTCGCAGGGCATATTATTTTGTTGATTAAATGAAACGCGTATATGGATATGCTTTCTCTCTCGTACGGATGACGTCCTCAGCCACTTCATCACGTAGGACTGGAAAAAGCTCTTCTTTAATATTTCTTCTTTCCCCCATTGTTACTTTTTTGGGATATTTTGAGACTTTTAGATCTTTTTGTGAATCTTATCAATGGAAAAATATGTAATAAAAAATTGTTTTGACATTCGAGTATGTGCAAAGTTTGTTACTCTTCACGATAAGAAATCAATTTTCCATTATGATTAAAGTGCTTCGCATCCGGCGAGTCTATATAGTTTCGCCAATGTAAATTGGCAAAGTTTGCGAAATTCAGTACCAAAACCAATAATATTTAGTTGTTCATATGTATGACGCGCGTGCCGTGTCAAGTGCAGTATGCAAAATTGAAGCACATAGCACACACTTTGTGTAATAATAATAGCCCACAAAGTCCTCTGTAACCTCTCCACTGTGCAAACGTGCTATCCGATATTTGTGGCGACCCGCACCCACCAAGCAGCAAGCAGGACAAAATCAATAGGGCTTTCATTGGCAGATTTGGCTTTGCTTTTTCCCTTCAGTCACGAAAATAACTGTATCTTCCCCTCCATCCGGCGTCCATTGTTTTGTTAACACTTATCACGTATCCACTGTCACTCTCAATCTCATTCAAGTGTTGACTCTGACATTTTATCATTATGTTGCCCTCTCCCAGGCAAAACCCGTCACGTTACGACACAGTTTTATAATGGGACTTTGAAAACCAGTGAAAGTCATCACAATGGGTTCATTTCCCCGAAAACGGATTTAATCATGCCTTGATGGCTGGCTCCTCGTACATATTTTTACTACCAGCTTGTCCTAAATGTGATGATAATAGACGATAATAATAATAATACTAGTATACGTACCTTCAGGACGTAGTAGATCTGAATAAGGCGACAAACTCCGAGAAGCGTTGGAGGCATCACGGGGACCACGATGTTCTGATGCGAATCCCATTTTATCCTCGATCTGGGCACGACAGGGGCACCCCGATACTCCAAAATTGTGTTGGACAACTCTTTCGAAACGCCCAAAACGCCGCGGTCGATGTAGTATTCGACATACTGAAAAAAGAACGAGTGACATTGATAACTTTGACTATCAATAATCATGAAAATATAGATATAGATATGTATGTCACGGAGAAATGGTGAACATTCGTCAACGGAATGACCACCACGTGATCCGTGTCCTTGAAAGGTTACACCCGTCTTTTTCTCTCCCCTTGAAATACTTTCTTCTCGAGTGTCAAGAAGACGAAGGCAAATATGTGTGTAGAAAAAATGATAATATTTTCCTCGTGGCACACAAATAGCTCCTCGGCACTCATCAAAAGGAGAGAAATGTTATGGACAGTTTGTTATTTGCACTCTTGTCACCCGTACGACACACGTAATAATATCTGACACACATTATACACACTCCAAGCTCTTCTTACTCACCATCAGTAACGAGGATGGATTCGTATATATAAAGAAGTTTACTTTTCTCAGACTTTTTTTATCATGTTGGTTGTTATGTATAGAACTTTTTTTTAGTGGGGATGGACTTTCTCCAGCCATGAACTTTCTCCTGGCGCCCTTTAATGTCAAGGTGAAGGTGAACTGACGAATGTGCAAAAAACTTGTTCAATGCCAAAGGAGGAACGTTTTCCAAATTGAGAGTGGAGCTGCTTCCTCGAATTTTGTTTTCATTTGCGTTATCAAAGACAGAAATAATAAATAAAAGTCATTCGTTCCCATTTACCTGCACGAGGCGTAGTTTGAGTCTTGCATCTTCCCCGGACTGATTATCAATCTCCGCCTTCAGCCTCAAACTTTCGCCACAAACGTATGCCGACCGTTCCAAATGGGTCCGAATGTTTACCCAGCGTCGGTCCCAGCAGAGACTGAAGCGTGGTCGTTTCCTATCTCCGACCATCGGTTTCTATACGTTGGAGGGCGAGGTTATTAATTAATGAATGTCAAGAATTGCTCAGTCTTTAGAATTGAGAGGTATTTCAGTACCAAGTAGTCCATGCAGTCAATCCAAGGTCCAATGATGGTAAAGTATTTCATGCCCTGTGGTGGAGATGCGTATGGAATGTCCACCGTGGCCTGGAGAAAGTGGAAGTAGGAAGAATTTTTTTAGCCAATTAGTTCAAAATTTGTGACAAAAACCAAGAGTACAGCTTCACTTAGCCCGAGTCAGGTTGTTATCAATAATTGATTTTAGTTTTGACACATTTTGCTCATCTTCGAACTTGATTCATAATTTTGCATTTTCTCCATGTGTACAAAATTTCAAATCGATTGGATAAGTTTTAAGTAAGCGAAATCGATAGAAAGACAGACAGACAACCACAATGTCGGGCACATAAGCCCTGACTCGGGCTAAAAACTTGACATTTTCTTACCTTCACATAATACCGGATTTGTCCAGCCTTCGACTCGAACGAGCAAGGCAACGAGCTTTCGGGAAGTTGGAAACGGAACGGAAATTTGTGCAGTCCTCTCGGCAAGATTTGGACGTTACCCTCAGTTTTATCTACACATCATTATTTATGATCCTTACGTAAGTACTTACATACGTTAAGTTGCGTAAGGATGAACAAATGAGGAAAAAAATAACACGTCCGTCTCACCTTTCCCCCAAATAGTGGATCTATCGTCGATGAAGTACTGGTCGTCTTTCACCGTCCTTCGTTCCCCACTCACCATCACTTTCCACTCGGTGTGTGCCTTGCCTCGAACAACCACTTGAATCCCTGCGAGAGAAAGCAAACGAGAGAAAAGTTTGGTTATTTAGTTTTGAACAATGAGCAACGCCTCGATTTATTTAATTGGATTGGAATTAGTTTTGTTTTTTTTGGCTCACTTCGCAACTTGAAGTTTTCCACCGTGTCGAGTATAACGACTCCAGAAAGCGTCTCTCCAGCGTAGTACATTTCCTTCTCCAGGCGAATGTCAAACTCGCGAATGTAATCCATTATTTTTTCTTTCTCTCAGGTGAAATAGTGAAACTCGGTCTGATTTTACGGATTCTGTAATCAAAAATACGACAAGATGAGATGTCGTCGTCAAAACAGGAGAAATTTTTACTGTCAATTTATTTGCGCAACGGCTCGTCATAAGTGGAGCGAGGAAAAAAAACTTGTAAATGACAAATTCTCCTTGTGTGTGAAACTGTCAAGTAGACGGGATTTCTTCTTTCTTTTTTATAAAATCACACTTTCCGCATGAATAATTCATCCGGAGAGGTTCACTTTACAAAGTGGGCATTTTATGAATATCGTATCACCACCACCACGCCACAAATCTGAAGCCATGTTCGCTCACGACGGGATAAAATTACATTAAACACAACCTTCTCCTTCTGCTTTGCATTACATGCAGTTTCGTGTTATTGGATTCCCTGCTTTCTTTCTGGAATGTACGAATTTATTTATTTTTTGTACGTATGTACAACTAGGAGTTTTTGGGATTGAGCTGCGTGAGCTGGTGAAACTTGGTGGACGTGACCTGTCATAAGTTGCGGTGAGTGAGTGAGGAGGAGATCTCGCTATATGGAATTATCCAGTTTGTCACAAGAGTTCATTTTTCGGACTTATCCGATCTGTCAACATTTCAGTTATTCGGGTTGTACAGTCATTAGCCGCACCAAGCATGTTTCTCTATATACCATTACATACACATAATTTAGATTTTGCAAACGTCTGGCAAATTCACCCTGCAAAATAAAAACATCCATAGATTTTGCACAATTTGGCAAAACAATGAAATGTGCATTAGACACGTCTTCTATTTCCAATTTGGCAAGGTTGACGTCACTTATGTTACCCATTATCCGCTCGTAATAAAAGAATCATTCTCTCCCAACGGATTCAATTTCAAACAAATGTCGCAAATCCTTTCAAAACAATTCATTACTTAAATATGAGCATACTCCTCACAACAACAAAGCACAAAGTCAGAAGAAGAAGAAGGCCACCTGTGCTCCTCCATTTCTAAAAAGCACAGTCCAAACTGCATTACAATGGAATAGTCGAGTAAGCAAACAGAGCATATGTACGAAGCCGGGGAGAAAGCAGGTGAAACCAACCGGTCCAAATTTAATGTGTCCCATTAGAACGGCGTTGCAACAGCTCAGGGTTGCACCTGAATAAAATATGACGACTTTTTACTCGACATTGAGACAGTCTCCTCTTCACTGTCTCATTTGAATGAACCCCTACATACAAACTATGTAAAAGAGGTCCACGACCACGCAGCCAGCGTGTGTGAGAGAGAGACCAATTTAGCAATTTAGCCAAAATTCAGCCATCCTCATCCTCCAACCTTGAATCGTCGCCGTAGTCGTCGTCGTCGCGCCATGAACTGAACTGAACCTTTAAGCTTGACAAGTCAGGCAATAAATTTAAAATATGGCTTTCCCCAGTTTAAGTAATACATCACGACAGGCTGCACAGGAGTCGGGGTGCTCGAAATGTGTAGCATGGGCGGACGAGGAGTGAGGGATTTAGTGACAATTTTTGCTCGCAATTTGGCAAATTTATCATTCGTGGGTGGTTCCTGGGCTGCCTAGCGTACATACAGTCGCATAACTTTGAACGTGCCATTTCCCAGCCAGATAAAGAGATTCATGGCTCAATGAATGAATAGGTTTTGTCTGTTTGCTTCCCGAGGTTGAAATTAAATTTAAAACAATTTCATTCCTTGCATAAGAGGCGACATTCCTTTTCGAGGATGGATGGCTTCACGACTCCCTTTAATACAAACTCCTCTGCTCGAGGAAAATGAAACCTAGCCAGGGACAAACTTTCACTTTCTCGCACTCAATCTTTAACACGAACTCATCCGATAAATCAAGACTTTTTCTATTTTTATCCCAAGAAAGACGAACAACAAGTCAATAAATTCTAGCCAAGATCAAGACCGGAATTTGCGTGGTTGGTCGTATATTTTTACTCCTCAGAAGAAATAGATTGATGGGAGGAGGACGGAAAACAATTTATATTACCATCACGAGCCACAATTACACAATTAATAGTGAAAGCTGAGCTCAATTCTTCTGATTAACTTGTACAAAAGTGGGCAAAAAGTCGCCACTTACTCGACATACACGACTCCAGCTGGTTCATTCATTAGGAGTGGCCTTGGTTCCGTCTATTGTCACCCGGGCATGTTGTCGTTGTCCTTTCTTGACTCGACTTGATGGACAACTAAGTAACTAAACTAAACCCCACCGACGACAAAACGAGCGAGAAGTGAGAATAACCCTCTCGTGTTGAGTTTTCCCCTTTATCTGAACCTAACCAGACTGGATTTCAGTTCAGTTGTGGGAGAGAAAGTTGCAAAGTTTTAGCCAGACTTGCTCCGTTTTAGACGAATTTCCCTGGACTGCGGCAGGAAGTTGGGCATGATCAAGTGTGTATAGCAGGCATGCATGCAAGACACCTACCATGCTCTATATGAGTGAGGGGTACATACATACATACTCTGGAATATATGTACTTAAAGTGTTTTGAGTTGGACCCCTACCAGCACCACTGGTCTCTACGTAACTCTGATTATTAGCACGGCATGAGCCCACCCACGCCATCGACCTTCCGCAATGACACTGACACGGCTATCTTCCTTCTCCGTCTCGGATTCCTTCCATCCCTAATTTAATAATAACGAGGCTGAAAATAAATGGTGGTGAAGGCGGGCCAATCGCTTTCCAAAGTTTCTTCGGAATGCTCTCCCTGCCATTGGAAGAAAGCTACATATTTGCATATCTAGCCCTCAAAAAGGGAAAGAATCTCGCCCGCCTGACGAGGAGGAAAATATGCACCACGTTCAAAGAAATGCGGCTTCAAACGGTTCTGAGATGAGAATGTTGTTATTGCAGAGTACGTACGTATATTTGCTCAAAGTATAAGTACATGCCTATCTTCAAGGTGAGTGAGTTCGTCGGGTAGGTCGGTAGCTCTGTATTTGTTATTGTGCAGAGAAATGCATTTATAACAACGTACGTATGTACTTACCGTAAAATAAGCCACCGTTATAATTTCGCAGTTCAACATCCCCTATGTGCACGGTGCACCATGTGTAAGTAATGTCCACCTACTTACTTACTTTCTCCGAAGAACCGATTTCTCGGTAAAAGAGCATAGTAATTGACCATCCAAGAGGAGAAAACCTGAATGAATTTATAGAAGCCTAACCCACCCACCCACGCAGGCGGTTGTTCTATTGATATGCACATTACATTGTTGGAATTTACAGACCTATAAATATTTCTGGGAAAATTGCGCCTCTTACTTTCTCCTCCAGGTCTGTTTTATTGTGTGCTTTTCCTGCCCTGACAATGAAGCTGTGTTCGCTTGAACGAAGCAATTTATTTTATTGCAGCTGTTGACTGTTCTGTTCGAGCGACGACAGAGTTACATTCAGCGATCTGTTTCCAGTCGTTGTCGTCGTCCAAACTCCATTTCATTCCTTGCTTAAAAAAATATCCAGCTGGCTGACCCATAAATATTGGTCCATGTACATGCTCGTGATCCTGTTTGTAAATGCAAGCCATACCCTGGCCTGGATTCGTTCGAGCGCTGTTTTCGCTCCACGAATGACAACAAACTTCTCTCTCGACTTTCTTGAATGAAATCCTCGTCAAGAAGTCAAGAAGCAAAACAACGTCACATGACTTCGGAGAAAGCCGACTTTTTCGGGGAAAATGAAAACTTTTTTCTCAATCTTCCCTCGCCTCACGTAGTAAACTCGTAAGTAGTACTCGTATCGTAGTGCGGAGGAGGATGTGGATGAGATTCAAGTGAGCATTCACCTAAAACCAACCTCTTCTCGGCTTCTGCTTTGTCGTGGTTTTTGGTTCTTGCTCTTGCAGCTTATAAATAGCGTGCATTTACAAGTGGCCAATTTTGCTCTATGTACTTTCTCCTCCCGAATAATGAGGATCTTTGTATGATAATGATTATCTCGTAGTATACGAACGCGAGGCTGTGCGATGCGATAGAATGGAATCGAGTCTACAATAAACGTGAATAGAAATGGATGAATGGGTCGGATTGGTTGGTATGTATTTACTTTAGCGTGTTTTCCTCCCTGGTCTGGTTTGGTTTTCGAGTCCTAGTTTTGATTAGAGAATAAGTGCGCAATTATCAGGGAATCATTGGAATTCTGGGAAAACAAGAGAAGGTTGATTAAAGGTGAAGTAAGTAAGTGGACGTGAAGTGAAAGCACGCTGGGGACGAGGATGGATCTCGATCTATATAAATATTTTACAAATCATACCTCACTTTCACTCGGTCGGTTTCGCAACCCGCAATAAAACACTAGCTCGTCATCTTCCTTCCCTGACCATTCCCTCGGACACATAAAGTATGAAAAACTTTACGTCGCCATTATTATTACGGAATCGTCTGGAACGCAATGGAGAGGAGAAAGTTTTTTATGCGAGGATCCCACTACGAAGACGAACCTTGACTTTCAACTAGTAGTGAATGAAGAGACGAACGACTATACGGCTGGCTGGCTGGCTGCACTACGAACATCGCAATCCCACTTTCGGATAATAATGCATAATGGAAATTGGTCAAAGTTCACCTTCCCTGCATTTTATTACGTCCTTTTTGTTTCTCAAGGAAAAAAAGGCTCCATTGCCCGAGACGGGTTTGTTTGCCCAGAAAATGACAACATATAATCTACGTGACCAGCGGAATAAGGTGTTTTTTTCTTATACGTGCATCACGCTCCAGTAGCTTTTTTACGTCATCTGGGACAAAAAATTGGCCTGGAAATTCGGGGAGAGAGGAAAAATACCAGGGTGCGACGAGAGTAGATAATCCTTGGAGGTGGTGTATAGTAATGTAGATACATAGTTGAATTCGTCGACCCTATTAAACTTTAATAGGGTGCTTCATGCGTTACTCTGTGTGCACCAAGATTGGTACACCAAAGTTGAAAGGCATGATAAGACGAATGACATATATGTACACATGTACATATATATATGTCATATTAGGTAATATACAATCATAACATACATATAATCAAGTTCTGAACTCCACCGCTGTACAAGGTCAGCGTCAAACCCAAAACTTTCCAATGTAAGGAATGTGGCCTGGCTTTCACTCAAAGACATGATATGTTCGCCCACAATATGACATTGCAAGATTGTGCATCTGAACGGTGTTCATCTATAAATTCGGCACTGTCGTCAGTCATTCGTAACCAAAGAAAATCGACACATTTGACCGTTACCACAATCCAGTCCTCCTCCTACCAAAAAATACTACACCAACTGACAATGAGTCTTCAACCATTTCACATTTTCAAATAATTTACTGATTGCACAATGCATTTACCTCATGAAGGAGATATTTTTCTAACAGAGCTGATAAAAATGTGTAAATAAATATGTACATATAAAAAATGAAGTTGTACATAAGCAGCACATTTTGTGAGAGGAAAATTCTTTGGATATGTTATAAATTACAAAATAAGACATGATTGTGAACTAATTAAAACCTAGCTGTTTAAATAACCTGCAGGGCAGACTTGACATAGCCCGTTTCTAAATTTTTTTGCATAACACACATTTATTGATTAAGTTTACGAAATGGCAAGAGTCAGCATACGTAGTTTAAATTCAATTGGGTCACCCTTTTCATAACGTATATTGAACATACATACACCCGAACCGCAAATTGGAAACGTTTTAAAAATTTAAAATGCAAACTTCCCCTTTTGCAAACAGGAATAATCGATCATCAAAGAAATCATATTCACACACCGAAACCAAAGTGGAGTCCATCCGATGGAGCAATAAACGCATAAATGTGTCGGAGAGCAGAGAGAAAGAGACCATTAACAATTTATGAGGGTTAATTGCTCCAAATCCTCAAAATGTAGTTGCAATAGCAGCATCTGCAGCGTATAACAGAACCTCGTTCGTTCCTAGTGGTGGGTAAAGTACGTCATGAAAACAGAGGAAACCCGTCCATGAAAATATTTTGATTCCTTATCTCTCCTCCGTACACTCACTTTCACCCACGACGACGAACCATAATATTATCAGCCAAACTAGGACTTTCTCTCTCCATGGTGCTCTCCGTTCTATTGATAAAGACGCCACCACCACCACCACCACTACTTTACGAACCAAAGATTATACAGGATGGGATGTGATGGGTGGTGGTGGGTGTGTAAATATAAGTAGTGTCCTCCGCTAATCCTGCTAAAGGACCCAGCATAAACAACATAAACTTACTTTTTTTTTATCTGTCAACTACTTTCTCCTTCCAGGAAGAACTCTCTTTCTCTGTTGCGTGATTGCGAAATATAATGAAACGTCAACGTCCACGTCAACGTAGAGCTGCCGATATGCGTGCTAAGTCCCAATTTATTCGAGGTGGCCGTCATTTATGAGACGATGCACTCAAACAATGCAACCCAAATGTGTGAAGTAGAAAGGCAAATATAAACTAGGAAGTGATAACAGCAAAGAGAAAGTAAAGCGAGTCAAACAGCGAGTCAAATAATTTCTGCTTTCTGTAATACAAAAACTTTTCAATTGTTGTTTTTGTTACCTTTTTATCTCGGGGAGAATTCGCACACTTATTCCGCTAAGAGGCAAAGTTGTGTTGTGAAAGTGTTCCCCTTTTCCGTGGAGAGAAAGCCTGTCCCAATAAACAATGCTGAACGGAGCTTTCGTGTTGTATGTAAAGCTGTTCACGTTTTACTTTCTCTCAACTTTTGTTGCGTATTATTGTTGGTTGGTCATTCAGAGCGCTACTTTCACCACGAGGTGGAGGAGAAAAGTAGTCTATGCAAAGCAGAACAGACAGGTTTTCTCTTATCACTTTGTCCTCCTGACAGGGTCACGTCATTCCGTGGGTGAATTACTATCTCGAAATCTCGCTTCCCGTGTCACCACTTGACTTCCTTTCTAGTTCTTTGTCTTTTATTGGGCCAAAAGTGGACAATTTGTCGACGGAGAAAGTTCGTTTCACTGACACGCAAAATATCCTGCTCAACTGCCAAAATCTATGCAAATGTCAAGGACTCAAGTTTTTTATCGTGTATACGCACCAAAGTAAATTTTAACTCGATTAATGATTTCTCTCCACTTTACATTTCGCACGCTGAACCTGATTGATTTATCAGGCGAACGAACGGAATCACTACGGACGAAGAAGAAGAAGGAAACGGAATGCAGCCTCGTATTCGTGATCTGCTCCAGTTTGCGAAAGCATGAGACGTGTTTGCTGTCGGATATGTCACTGGACTTGGCTGGAGCTAGAGAGAGGAGAAAGCAGAGTTGGTGGTGGTGGTGATTCTGCTGGGTTTGTTTGCTTATGGGCGAGATAGAGGTCTAACTGTGAAGGCTCTCTCTCTGCAGAGACTGCATACGAAGTGAAAGCGGGTACTTTCTCTCCCGGATTTCTCTCACAAAAACACATCTACGCAGGTACAACCCCACTCTTGGAATATGGTTTAGCAGTGGCACACAGATCCTTCATTCTGTTGCTGCTGGTCTGCTCTGATGTTCTCTTCTTGGGGGCAGAATGATGTTTCTGCTGCTGCTGCTGCTTCTTATTCCGATGTGCCAGTGGATATTGAAGGCAGTGTTTTACTTTCTCCATTCAATATTATTATCTGCTCCTTCTTGTCAGAAGCTGTCTCCCACCCAGCTAAACTAAACCAGTGAAAAGAGAAAGCTGCTGCTGCATGTTTGCCTATATGTATCTCGTCTTCCCCCAATTTGCTATCGTATTGTCTCCTCTCGACTTGGATCTGGATGATGGAGAATAATATCATCTTCTTGTATTCTATTTTCCCTGCAAATTCTTCGTTTTAAATGCTAACCGAATTTCTAGGAAGGGGAAAACAAATGAGATTACAAACAGCATTCATAGGAGAAGGATGAAGAAAGATTGTTATTTGCTCGGGCGTTGTTGATCTCCCAATTCGCATAGGTTGGTATAATCCGGAAGATTCAAGGTTTTTGGTATGTACAGCGGCGCAAATTGATTCAAGGAATGAATTCTGACTGCGTAAAAATTCTGGAGATGCATTTCCTCATGTCCTACATACGAGCATACATACTTGAGAAAGTAATTCGCAGAACGGTGTAACATGGCAGCATTTGCTTCTTGCTCGAGCCAAGGCTTAAACCGATTTCGACCAACTTCTTAGCCTTAATATCTCGATAAGACCTTCCATGAACTCGAAGATGGGACGATGACCGCTCGAGTGGTTTGCTTATCTTGTGACATTATCAAGAATTTTTTTGCGTTTGAACAGTTTTATTAAATATTTACATATGCATATCTGCCACACAACACACATCTTCCTTCACTTTCCTGCAATGTGCAGCAAAACGGTGAGATTATGCGACATAATAATATCCGGTCTTCTGCTCACAAGACACACGTATTTACGACTAAAATGAGGACAAAGCAGTGAAAGTTTTGCTGGAGAGAAGCGACTCAGTCAGGAAATGAGAAAGTTAACAAAACGGGGAGGAAATAGAACTCCATCCAATCCATCCAGGTAGGGAGATGAGACAGAGATCTGAGACATGTCAGTGTTTAAGTAGGTACTTAAAAGCTGGGTTAACGATACGCGTGTGGTGGGGAACACAAATCGTGAAGGGGGGCATTGTCCCTGCCGACTTTCTCCTTCTTTTCGTCCCCTATTGTATGCAGGCTGTAATCGCATCGCAATAAATTCCCGGCTGGATTATAGTGTAACTAATAATGCTCACTGGAACGACGAGATGTCCAATCGGGACGAGCTTGTGTGTCGCACGACTCATAATAAATAAGAGGAATGAGCCATTATAAAATTTATCTGGGTCTGTTGCGGTCCTTGTGAAAAAGGCATAACTTCAAAGTACAGAAATCTCGCATTACAAGTTGTGCTAGGTTTCTCAGAGAGAAAAGAAAACTTCTAAACAAAAGTTTTTTCAACTCCGAGTGCCTCAAAATGAGTCCACTACATTTCTCTCGAAATAATGCGGAAGAAGAAAATCATTTTGTGTATGTATCTGATGTCATGTCAAAGTCGGCCAAAAACTGAGATAAAGTATAAAAACTGTATGAATGAGGCTCAACAAGGTACAATACTTCCTGTTCTTTGAATGACCAAGATTATGCATACGGATAGAAAAATGTATAAGATAAGAAATATTTCTCTCTGACGTTACTTTCTCCTCCCAAAATTTTTTGAGTGATGGCCTTCTCTCCAATAATGGAAAGGTTATATAAACAGTAAAACGACACGAGACGCTAAACTATTGTATGAATTTAAATATTCCACGTTATATAATGTCACGTATTAAATTCCCTCAATATTAATAAATTTTGGTGGTTATTCAACATTTTATGTAACCGATTATTCAATCAGAACTAAACTATTATAGATTTTCGAGAATCATGTATTTCAATCTGCTCTCTTGGGATGATAACTTGCTAACAATTTATTTAACTACCTAAATCAAGTCTTGCACGAATGGACTAATGAGTTGTGCCGAGTTTACGACCGTCTTCTGTAGCGATAAGTAGTTTGTGTTGATAGGGCTGAAAATGAGACAAGTTGTCAGACAGGCTGGGTACGAGGTGCCCACGCCTTCTTGTCGTGTCCCTTTTGTTGCATTCTTCCCTTAACCTTATTCCTTCCTTGTCAAAGACACAAAGTTTTCTCTCCTTTATAAAAAATGGACTTTCTCGCATGGACAAAAAGTTTTTCTTCATCTCGTCGTTCGTGAAACGCAATGTCGTTTCGAATATTGCTTGGTAGGTGGGTGAGCCAGCCAACAAGCTTCATTTCATCATCATCATTATTGTCTTATATTGAGGTCAGTCGTCATGAAATCAGGAATCGAATCGAACTTGGAGACAGGGCTTAAGTTTTGGCTTCCTTTTGATCTTGCATCTGCTCCAGTTGGATTCATCTTTACATGATCATGATGGGAAATGGGAATAATAATGTGATCCTGCTTTTGCAAGGATGACGGAGAAGATCATGTAATACCCGACGGAATGAGAAATTGAAGAGAAAGAGCTACTTCTTTCACTCAGTTCACTTCTTCTAAATGCGTGCACCACTGAACGACGTACATTCGTGGTGAAAGCAGAACTACAAAGCTATGGGTTGTTGGTTAGTGAGTCTTTCATGGTTCGTTTATTCCTATCGATTATTTTTTGGCAACTGTTACATAACGGGGTTCTTTTTTGTTTCATAAAATTTGCAAGTGTTTTACAAGTGTGGAATGTCTCAACAAGTTATAATCTCATCTGTGCATGTAGAATTGGAGGCACTTTTTTGTTCACTTTCACTGATTGAGCTAATTTTTGATTTGTGCATATTTTTATTGCTAACAATTTTGGTACGATTTATTTTTTCTTGTACGGCGAAACTGCTTCAAGTTCAGCCAATCCTCGCAAAACGAGCTCTTCTTGAAAAGGAAGGCCAACAATTTGGACAGAAATAGGCATCCCAGTGGCTTGCTTGGCGCCCTGTGTGGTCCCAAGGAAAGCCAGAATAACAAAATGATTACTGTTCTAATTCTAGCGTTATAAAGACCAAGCGAGAGAGAGAGAGAGAAAACCCACCTGTTTTCCTGTCCTCAAAACCATGTCATTTTGACAATCATATTTATCAACTTTTTCCCCTGACTCGGTTCCCCACTTTATCACTCCGGCCTTAAAAGCAAAACTATTAAATTGAGCACCAAAAAACATTTGTCCTTGAACAAACTACCGGAAAGTCGAAAAGATTCCAGATCATTGTGTAAAAGACGCTCGGTTGTAAGCGTCCGGGCATGTGGTGAGGAACGGCAGGGAATGGATAAGTCGGACAAAGGACTAAATCGAGGTTTGCGGCTTTCCAAGATGTCAACAAGTCCTCCGTCATCTTTTTACGGTCTCCCAATCTCTCCCATAATTTGCTGGTGCTATTTGCTCCCCCTGAAATACGCAGTGCATGTCAAACTATACTATTACATATATATTTCATAATGATAATTAATTAATTTGTCAAGGAGTATTACAAGTAGCACTCTGGTTTACTTACGTCCAATGATGGTAACTGCACGCGAAGAATGAACCAAGGGCATCCATTTACATCCCATAATGAGAACAATAACTTTCCTCATCCACATTGGAGATTTGCATATCATAAAGTTGACAACGACGGAAAGTGGGATCTAAAATTTTTTTTATTTTAAAAATTAAATTATTAGGTTGAATATATGAATATCTTCCTTCATATTAATGATGCAATTACCGGTTCATGTCTCCTGTCAAATGCAGAATCAGAGGAGTTGGTTGTTATTCACAAAATAATCAAAACGCAGGAGATTAGTTTCAGTTTAACGTATACTCGGTAGTTGTCGATTTATATGTATAGATACCCACCAATTTTTCAGTAGATATTCGCCAGCATCTCCGAAACAGAAATCAAACTGTGAATTGAAATGGGAAATCATTCAAGCTTTAAATCTATTTCTGCTGGTATCGTTGCTACATTTGTTAATGAATTGGAATATCATCCTTACGACGAGGTTCATCATTTCAAAACTGTCTGGCATTTCGAAAGGGACCAAAGTATGTCCCTGCGACTCCAACGCAGACTTTGCTTTAAGAACAATCTCCTCCGTGTCCCCGACGAGAGGAAAGTATGGCAGTGATGTGAAATATCCAATTTTCAACTTTTTCTTGGAGAACATCTATGCATTTTGCAAGGTCATATTTTATAAATAAAACAAAGTATAGCAAACAACCGTTTCTTAAGTACTGAGAACCAACCTGCTCATTCCAAGGAATTGGGACGGCCAAAGGATCGTATTTGGTCTGCAAATTATTTTCCGTCATGTATTTCGTTGTTTTTGCGATCATGTTTATATTATCAGCTAAAAGTCCAGGGACTCCCATGACTAAAAGCAATAATACAAGTCGGTAAAATTTAATAAAATTGCACATATATGTATCAGATTAAATGTTTGAAACCTACTTCCCACTACGTTTGGCAAACTTCCTCTAAATCCGGTGCCACTGGAAAATTATAAAATAGTGAAACTTTTGTCGCACGAATTTGATAAATTATTTTACGCACCAAAATCGACCCTTTGTGACCTTAAACCCAGCAATTCCAGTGAAGTGTGCAGGAATTCTAACGCTTCCACCTGATCAGGGTAAAATTCCTTTCACACTTCTTTACTTTTCGATTTGAATATTTAATATTTCCATTAATCACCAATATCGCTCCCAATTCCAAGCCGTGATCCCCCAGCAGCGATAAGGCTAGACTCGCCACCACTAGATCCTCCTGGTGAAAGCGAGGAGTTAAGAAAGTTCTTGGTCAGTCCAAACACAGGATTCGCACATCCAAAGCTGCTCAATGAACATGCCAATAAGATTTCAGCTTTGTTAACTAATAGCAATGGTCTTAACCAACCTTAACAATGTTTGTGGCACGTTAGTTTTTGCGAATGGAATGGCCCCCAAAGCCATTAACGATTTCACGATTGCTGAAGAATCTTCGGCTGGCTGGTAGAGAAACTTTCCAAGTCCTCAATTACCAAATTTATAAATATTCCATAGTTAGGCCAACTCAATTTTTAACATGCGAATAGGTCAACCTGGTCTTTGCATTACCAATTGTGGAATCCATCCCAATTACGTTGCAGTTATCTTTTACCGAGATGGGAAATCCGTGCAGAGGACCACGGAGAGAACCCTTCATGGCGTCCAACTCTTTTGCCCATTCCTGAAGAACACAAGATTAAAAGTAATTAAGTATTACTTAATTACAATCACATTTAACTCGTATAACACTTACTTCCGCTTGTGGAATGAACTCGGTCACCATGTTAAATTCTCTGGTCACTTTGATTGACTATAATTACAAAATATTTAAGCTAACCTCAGTAAATCAAATAAAATATTACACATTCCTTAATAATTAATCCACCTTTGCAATGAACGCTTCTTGAACCTCCACCGCTGTCAACTTTCTCGACTGTAACTGATCGATAAGCTCATCATCACTTAAGCTCAAAATCTTTTCATGCTTCTCATTCAATTGGTAACGGCTCTGACTTTCCAATTTTTTAAATTGTGCTTCTCTGTCCTCTTGCTTTTTCCGAATGATTTTCTTTGTCTCCAGAATTCCCTAAAAAATAATAATTTAAAAATTACTTAAGATGGAACACATCAACAAACTCTGAATATTTTACAAATTATAAAATCCTTACCATCACATATGTCATCGCACTGAAAGATAACCAGCAAACTATTCCTGCTCCGATTAAAGAAATCCATGGCCCTGCTATGAAATCTTGAAAACAGTTCGAAATTCCCATGATCAACTTTAATTAACTTGATCAAATTCTAAATTATTGTTAACTATTTAGTATTAAATTAGCTTGTAAAAAAACAGGTTTTGTTCGATACAAAATACAAAAATATTATGAGCAAGCAAGTCAGAGTCCCGCTTGCTCAGCTTTCCATTTATAATTTTTTCACACTGTGACCATATCACTATGAGATTTGTATAAATAAATGGCATGAATTTAATGTGGGTCGGACTTTGGACTAATTGATAAGTATTTCACTGATTTTCCATTGTGTAATTTGTAATCATGCACGTAAATTAATTACCATTGCACGCATTGTTTGTGATGATAAACTTGAGTATAATATGGCGTTATCGATGATGATGGTGATGCTGAATTTAGCATTTGTGGTGAGTTTTAGTGGTATCATGGGTCAAATGTTCTGAAAATCCAGTTTCGCCATATGGACCTTGATTTTTGCATCACTCATGAAATTACGAGTTGATTTATGCAACGAGGTCTAAAAAATGTGATCCACTTTACTTTTAAATATCGATAAAAGTGTAACATTTTATTTTGTCCTTGTCTTAAATTAAGAAATTACAAGGAGTTTATTTATATATTTATCCGTATAATTATTTAGTCGTATTGCGATAGTGGTATTTAGATTTCAAGTCACAGTCAAAGAAATAAGCGATGCTGATATATAAGTTCTAAAACAGAAGAAAGAGAAATATGTATCTTCTTTGTAGGATGTGTAAAGCATGTATACAATTCTGGAAAAATGACTAAATAGAGTTATGTTTTACTTATTAGGTAACAAGATGATGAGTTGAATATTGCGAATATTACATAAATTACTTATCTCTATTACGAAAGTTGAAACTTCTACAAAATAAAATGCATTCTTCGTTTTCTCCTTTGTATTCAATTTACAGCGTTTTTTTGAAATTCTACATTATAAGTATGGCACCACCCAGTGTACGTACAACCCCTCAGTTTTCTATGCTTAAATACTAATAAATAGGTCACAATTAGTTACGTTTTTAAGTATTACATTGAGATTCGTGTGAATAATATGAAATGCTTGACTAATATTATATCCAGTCACACACAAAGTGCTAATTAAATATTGCAAAGTTGGTTTCTTCATTTCGTCCCAGTTTCGGTAGGTCGGTCGGCTTGATGTAGTGTCCATGATTTTACGTATTGCTCCTTAATAGCTGCGAAAACGTCCAGCGGAAAAGTCAGTTGCGTGCAAAAAAAGTTTTGAATTTGGATTGATGATTTGGATCAACACCTATTAAATTGAACAGAAATTATTAGTTAAGCGTTCTACACATTTTCAATTTTTGCCAATTTGTTTACCATGAATAAAGTGTCGAGCTACGTAAAAAATTCATCATCTCCAAATGGATCTTTGTTTTGTTTAAAAATATTAAACGAGTCTGATTTTTTCATTTGTACTATTCCTTCACTATTCTGACTGTGGCTGTGACTGTCATCGTTTGATTTTTCCTCTTCAGATTTAATCGATTCGAGCCTTCGCCCTGAATAGGTGAATACTTTGGACTCGGTTTCTGGAGGAAATGTGTCCACTTTACCAGCGTCATCAATTCCGTTCTCATTGCTGGTAATTATCTTCAGATCCAATTCCTCAATAGATTTAACAACGGTATCAACAGATTCTGATTGTTTGGCTTCATCGTCATCGATAATTAATAGATTTGGTGGTTCGCTCGCACCGTTTGCTTGACTCCCAAAGTCGTCTTCAAATGGAGAATTAGATTTCTTATTGTCCAAGTCGTCTGGTTTCGAAATGGAGTCATTTTGTACAACTGGACTTTCATCAATCACTAAATCAGTTACGACAGCATTAGCATGATTATTATCCTGAGGTAAAGGTGGTGAAGATATACTGGCATTTCGGCTTTTTGGATTATTATCCGATGGGAGACTATACGCACCAAAGTCGTCCTCAAAATTGAGAGAGGATAGTTTAGGCGAATCTTGCAACTTTGAATTGAGTGCGAGTTCGCTTTGATACCGCCGCGATGATGATGAGTACTCTTTTTCTTGTCGACGAGAACCGTAATGTTCAGGACTTTCTCCTCGGCGTCGTTCGTCTCCTCCTCCTCCTCTGCTGGTACTATCCTTTCCAGAATTAGGCCTTCGTTGGGACGATACTTTGCTCGATTTCCCTGGAGTATCAGGTTCCTTTTCTGCCTCGTCTGACCGTGAAGATGGTGAATTTGTATAGTAGTGACCACGCGGGACTTCCCGAGCGTCTCTGTCACGATAGTGAGTGCTTCTCTTTGCTCTGACACGCCGATGTCCCCCGTGATGACTGTGGGACGAGGGATGATCGTCTTCTCCCGAATACTCTGAGAATTCTCTGCTATCTCCATAGTCCTCGTCGTCCTTATATCTCCTTCTATCCGACCGACGATAGTAATGGTCTGGATGTCTCGGACTATACCGTTGTTTGCCACCAGTACTACTCCCAGAATTTGGACGTGGACGATGATGTCGTTCATAGTATTCTCGCTCACGAGCATAATTTTCCCTGTCTCTTTTTCTTGTGTAAAGTTCTTCCTCCATGGATTCGTCGTCACTTTCATGATTTGAGTATCTGTCGGGTGAACCGGCCCCGCCACCTCCTCCTCCTCTCCGGTCGCCTCCTCGCCCAGATCGAGAGTAATAATATTTGGCTGACGGGTAGCGTCGATGTCTTCTTGTGGATGAGTAGTTTGAGTGATGTGATGCATAAGAGCGGTCATCGTCTTCGTCTTCGCCTTCTTCACGATCGTAATCCTTACTTCTTCGTCGATAAGTACCACCACCACCACCAGACCCAGACATGACCCGACTCTTTACTCGACGCACCGAATTATCCTCATCGCCAGAATCCCCGTTTCTATACTTGCGAGGAATTGAGGTATAACTACTTCTGGAGTCTGGTCTATAGTCTCGGTCTCTATCACGGTCACGATCTCCTCCTCTCTCCCGATTATACCGTCCACTACCATCACGTCCTTCACGATCAAATTCCCAACTACGATCGAGGTCTTGTCTATGTCTTCTCGGTCTGTCGCCGCCGCCGCCGCCTGGACCACCTTTTCCGGAATCGGAATAGTCAGAAACTTTCCCACCAGTTGCGGGTGGATTGTTACCCCCACCACCACCACCACCAGAACTACGCTCACTTTGTCGAGACGATCCAGAACTTTGTCGTTGAAATTGACCTGGAGTTGCTGGTGAGCGGATTCCTTCCGGAGTCGATGTACTCTTAAATCTTCCATCACCACCATCATCTTCAGAATACTTGCGTTGGTTGACTCGCTCCTTTGCAGCAGATTGTACTAATTCGGGTGGTTTTTCAAAGGGTTTGAAATCAAAGTGGTCATGAGGCTGGCGTGGGCTGCGTTGATCATTATTGTGCTGATGCTGAGGTGGCAAATTGGTGATAACATTCGACTTTTGTACTACTCCTCCAGCCCCATCATCAGAATCCCACGGGCTTTCATTGCCCTCTTCCGCCTTGACTAGTGCAGTCATGGCGAATTGATCATCAAAGTTTGACTCAAACGTTGCCCATTCATTTTTGACGAATCCAGCCGCAATGATATCATCGTCATCATCATCCAACGTAAACTTCCCGTTGTCTTGATCGTCTGAAAAGTTCACGTCGGTCACATCGTCCATTGTATTTGCCATGTTTGCAGTCGCAAAACTTGCACTCTTCAGATGAGTCGGTTCCGTAAGGTCGTCCGCCTGCAACGTTCGCTCACTACTGGACTCTCTGTCTGAGGCGAATTGTTTTTCCAGCGTTGTTGTGGATTGTTCATCGTCATCCGAGTTTATACTTCTATCCATGCTCCCCACATTGTTCACAATACTGAAACCGCTCGCATCTTCCAAGGCAAGTTCGCGAAATACTGCATATCTGAAATGCGTTCAATTAAAAATTTTTATTTTTAAACAAATATTTAGTTTTACGAGTATTTTAGTATGGATATTAACTTAATACCTATCAAATCCGGAGGGGGGTCCTTTTTGTACACTGACTCGCGGTGGAGCAGATGCTGTCGAGAAGTCATCGTCGAAACCACCAAAGTCACTTTTGTTGTCAGCAAATTGATGACTTGATGAATTTGGTTCAGATATTTCACCATATCGTCCACCAGTCTTTTTACTCAGGTTCATTTCGGTCAATTTGTGGGCAAGTTGTTGAATCGTGTAGGATGAGAGCTGGTCAACGGGAAGCTCCAACTGGACAGCGAGATCTCTCAAACTTAGCGACGCAACTTGAGTCAGAGCTTGTTCCATTGACAAGGCCACCTTCCCTTCAGCCGGTGTGGATATCGGTGGGGGGACGGCGCGACGCTGCGTGTGAGGAGAACTTGTTGTGAAGGGACGATTCGACTCTGGAACAGCGTAACGTCCACCTCCACCGCTATTATGCAAGGCACTACTTAAATTAGACTGCTGCTCGGATGACACTGCTCCTCCATGATGCACTTTTCGGAGTGGAAGTGGTAAAGGAAGATCGTTTGATTCCGATGTCGCACTCCGACTGCTGAACGTGGCCGCGAGTGGCTTCTTGCTATCGTGTTGTTTGAGACCCAGTGGGGTTGACATTGTCGAGGAGAGAGATTGCTTTTTAGGAGGCAGTGGAGGTGGTGGTGAAACCAGTTGGAGGGGATGATTAGAAACTGTGGTGGACGAAGAGGATTGCAGTGGGCGTGGTGGTGGTTCGGGGGGAAGCCCAATCACGCTCACATTTCCAGGGAGTTTCTTTCCTTTGTCTGATGATCCAGAAGTCGGACGAGGCAGTGCAGATGACAAACTTGATGAACCAGATTTTAGAGTTCCTCCACTAACACCAATACCACCACCAGTCTGTTGCCCGTGTGGAGGACGTGGTGGGGGTGACAGGTTTGGAATATCATCCTTGAATGACGAATCCATAGTGAATGTCTTTCCAATTCGTAGCGTGGTTGCTCTGTTGGTCGGAAATGCGGCCTTATTTGGACTAGAAGAAGAAGAGCTCAAGGTTGACTCTGCAATTGATATTTGTTTTAAAATCTGGGGAGATTTTTTCTTCCCCAGTCGTGGAGAACTTGTTGCAGGTGGCAATATATGTGGAACTTGATGAGTATTGTTATTCCCTCCTGATTGAGATGATAATGGATTTGGAGACCCAGTAACTCGAGGTGGTGGGGGCGGACTATAATTTGGGGGTGACTCTGCTCTTGCATTAAATGTACTGACTGGTGTTTTTAATTCAAGCTCAGAAGATGCTGCATTGTTTTGATTGTTTGTTGATGGGCTAAAGTTTGAAGAGAAAGAATTTGGTAGATGTTGCCCTCCTCCATCCATGCTGTATTGTTGCATTTTTGTAACTGACATTTCTGTGAATCCAGATGCTGCTGGGCCTAATAATAAATAGTGTGAATAAAGTCATGCATTTCACACTGTCACTATAATCATGCCTCATTTCAGTAGTTGACTCACCACGTCTGACTTCTAATGGATCCAAGGCTTTAAAAACGTCTCGATGCGGTTTATTGGACATTCCAATAACCGAGTCAGCCGCCGTCTCAGGTACAAAATTCTACAATTACATAATAACGCTTACTTTATTAATAATCAAAAAAAGAATAACCACATAAGAATAAAATAAATTGTGGCATGCTCACATCCTCAAAGGACGCCGTCCATCCCACTTTCTCTTTTCCGCCTACTTTTTCTTGTTGATGGTTATCACTGAATTTGGGTCGTGGAGCAGGGCTTCCCCCATTAATGTTTCCACCCCGTTGTAGTCTCACATCGGAAGAGTCGGAGCTATTTCTAAATGACGTATTAATTGCTTCTGGTGCAGGGAAACTGAATGACATTGGACCGGATGGACTATCAAAGGGATCGGAATTGAAAAAGTCCGTATCGCCAGGATACTTGGGAAATGGATCAACTTGGGCGAATGGATCAGACGTGAAAGAGCACGTCAAGGCAGATCCACCAACTTTTGAGCTTGTTGTACCCAATTGGAAATTTGTTGCTGAAGGATAGGGACCAGATGTCTCGGTGAAAGGGTCAAATGACGAGAATGAGTCACCAAATGGGTCACTGACACCACCACCAAACACGGAGGGAACTGGAGTAGTATTATTGGCATTAGATGACGATACAGAGGATCGTTTTGGCATAGGATTCATAGGATCACTAGATATAGAAGCAGTGCTGAAATTGAGATAAAAAATACAAATTTTAAGCAAAAAGTAGACATGCAACACTTTAAATTTTGATTTTGCATAAACGCCGCCCAACGAACCTGCCTCGAAATGGCAGAGATTCCTGTAAATTGTGGTGAATGTTGTCTAGGCCTTCTTGCAAACTTGTCAGCTCCACCTGATCAAATGCAATGAAGTTGTTAAACAAAGTTTATTTTTTGTGTGCCAAGTTTTTGAGCCACCTCGAGATTCAGTAAATCCACTTCCGGTGCGACACGATTAGGTACAGGACGTGAAATTCCGGCTGCACCAGCCCCTTCAATATACGTCTCGGCAATTGCAAACTTGGGCTCAGTCTTCTAAAAAAACAATACGCAGATGTTATTTCAGGAGCATTCTTACAATTTCATATAATCAGCAGACAGTACCTTGGATGGTGGAGCTGTTTCTTGTGCCCGGGTGGCTAAAAACTTTACACATAAAAGACAACATCTTCAGCTTAACCACGAAATTCGAGTACACGAAATATTGTTGTATAAAACCATTTTTACCTTTTGTTGCATCTCCAATTGCTGTTTTGCCTTCTCAATTTCTTTCTTCTTGAAATCAAACACAACTTGAAACAAGTCTCTCATGGACTAGAAATAAAATATTGCACGTTAATATTCAATAATTGCAACAATGAATGAACGCATCGTCTAAATAAATGAAACTTACTATCACAACTTGAGAGGCAGACTTTTCCGTTTTTATTCCAAAGAATCTGGTGAATGAAAATAACAAAATTAAAACTGTATGATTTCAGTGCCAAATGACATGTCAAAAATGTCATACCTGTGCCCAGTGTCTGGAGAGCCGAAAATGTAGCCGAATGCTCGCGTGTCAGTGAGATCTTGGGCGATGAATGATATCTTGTGGACTTGGTGGTGGTACAAACAGTCCTGCAAAAATAATTAAACCACATTTAAGAATATTCTAAAACATTTTGCACATAAATAAGTACATAACTTTCACCAACCCCTGTCTTTTCATCCCGAATTCTTAACCCATCCAACGCCACGTGAACGGTAACTTTCTGCTTATGTTCTCCTGCAGCTTTCACAGCCATCTTTAAGTCGGACAGCGCTTCCTGACATATTCGGTCTCCTCGAGGCCCTGAAACCTCCAACACTCCAATCAGCTTTCCCTTGAAGGTCAACCCTTCTCCCAGGAATCGAGCGGGGTCATGTTTATCTGGGAAAAGTAAAACAAAACTGATTAAATTCTAATCCACTTTCTCTCCCGTTTTACAAAATCATTATATTTATTCAAAATACATTTAAGGGGACTAGTGCGACGTCTTAAAGTTTGCATAGGCATAGGCAGCATTTTATTCAAAATGCTGCCGTTGTTCTACGGAACGTTACAAAACTCGTTGTCAAGCCCAGTATAGCCTATGTCCACTGACGATGGCGAAGAAGGCTCACACATTACAAAAACTTCCGTGCGAGGCTCGTTAGTTAATGAGAGAAGGAAGAAAGATTGGGAAATGAACTGAAATATTCATCCTGTTTTTCTCCACCATATCCAAACCTAACCACAACTGCTCGTAAATTATTAAGTGTTGTTTGTGTACAGCTTCAAAATTCAGCAGAGAACAAAAGACAGATAAAGAAGAGAAAAGTCGGTCTCCACCAGAGCAGGAAGAAGAAGAAGAGAAACTTTGTAGCAGTGAAAGTAAGTAGGAAACCGTGTATTATTTTGTAGGGTGAGAGTCACCCAGTCACTCAGACGGGCAAGCGCAAAATCAATAGTATAAGAGACCACACAACTCGCATAACTCCGAATCCCGAGTTTAATTCACATCGTATAACACGACCCTATTGTATACCACGGAGAGTCAGGGTATAATAGCCGCGTAGGTACTTTAGCAGGGAGCCGAAGAACCGAGAAAAGGAAAACATACCCGAATTTTCTCCAGTTCCAGCAGCAGCAGCAGTCCCGGTTGCAGCAGCATCCTTGCTTTTCTTGGTGTTAAGAGTCCCACTTCCGAAACTCGGGGAAGATTCATTCAGGAAAGAGGAAGACGCGGCGGTACTATTATCACCACTTCCACCACAACTCACTTTCACGTGGTCACCACCACCAGTAATCGTCTGATCACTAAGATTACTGTTTAAAACATTGTTTGTGGGGATATGTGTTGTGGAGGAATCAGTAATTATTCCGTATTGAGGTTCTGTACTATCTTTACTACTACTTTCGTCGCCACCTTTTCCCGTCTTATTCTTCTTGCTTTTTCCTGGGCGGTCCAGGGACGCGAAACTGGGCAGAGATAATCTCGAGGATCGGGAATCTGTACTTCGTCTCATCCTCAGTGTCCGCATCCCTATTGTTTTGACCCAGGAGGATTTGTCCTTCTTTTCCTTGGCTTCCTTCCCAACATCCACGCTCCCTTCGGCCAATGGACCATTCGTCGTCGTCGTCGTTGTCCCGTCTTCCTCCGAAATGGTGGACGTTGGTCCCCCATTTCCTGTGGAATTATTATTCTTTGACGATTCCCCTGCCGGTGAGTAGGTTGAAGCTGTCTTTGACTTGAACATCGTAGTAGTAAATCAAGAAGGCACTTTTTTATTGGCACTGTTGCTAATATCCAATGGTCATCATTTATGTACTACGTTTAAGTTGAAGCTCTTGCTGGCTGAGAATTTTGTTGTAGATTATCAAGCATCACAACCGTACATGCGTTGCGGGAGTTCAGTCAGTGAAAAATATCTGCGAGAGAAAAAGTTAACAAAGAGTCAATTGGATTGTTTTTGCATGGCAGATTCTATTCTATTCTACATACTTTTCTGTCCTAGTTTATACAGTTGTTGCTATTGCTGCTGATGATGATGCAGTTCAATTACATATTAAATTGGACCAACCAAAATTTCATTGAATCGAATGCAACGGATAAAATTACTACTTCCTGTCTCAACGAAGTGTGGACAACGCTACACTAAACTAACTAACCGAGAGTTCCGAGAACCGTTACAATAAAATAATATAGAACACAATTCCGTACTGTTTTGTTCTTCGATCTACTCATACGCCCTGCTGGATAATTTTCCGCTTCATTGCGCGTTATGCAAAATTCCCAACTAATAAATATAGCCCAAATAATAACCGTAATACTAATAATAATAGACCACCGAACTATTCGTCAATCTAACTATACGATATACGACCAACCACAAACAAGTGGAATACACCCCAGACTGACTGACAAAAATGTTTGCACATAAAAATTTTCTAAATTATGTTTCACCAGGAAAAAATGCGCAATGTCGACATTACAAGAATATTATGTTCACAGCATTGCTCATACAACGAATGACGAAGCCCGTATAGCATCAAGAGGGAGAGAGAGACAACGCAAATTACAACTTTTGTCAATGATTCCATATAAAATATCTTTTCAATACCGAGGGCGAACGAGACGGAGATAACGTGACTACATAACTAATTCATGCTACGTGAATTTATTTCATATGTACACACATAATGATGTGCTGCCTGCCTTTTACTTATAGCAGTTAGTGGTAAAGTTGCTTATTACGCTCCATATTTCAATTCGATATGCATAATGACACACACAAGTAATGAGACGGACAAACGAACCATTCATTGAGCTGGGAAATATGTAGTAGAAGTAGTGCAATAACGCACCTAAAGAATTTGTAATGCATACTTAAGGAGGATTATTAGATTTATTGGCGTATTTCCGGATATAAACAAATAATTCGTACCTATGTACATATGCAAGTATCCTGTAAAAACGTCTGGACTGGACTTAATCATTGAAATGCGAGACCAACAATTCTCTCGACATTGAACATTTGCATATTTGTTTATAATACGCATTATGTAATGTTTGTAGCAGAACAGAAGACCATTGTGTATATATCTATGTATGAATGTGAAGAGATAACAATATTAAGCTCTCAAAAAATGTGTTGGTAAATAGTAAAGACTGTCCGACATTAAAAATAATTGAACTTCGCAAATAATCGATAATCCATGTTTAACTCGAAGAATTTCATAATTGACTAAAAATTCAGCGTCGTCGTCGTTGTCAAATTAATAACAACCATAAATTGACAGCCATGGGAAAATTTATCCCGACCCGTTTGCACGTTTCGTTCTTAAAATGCGTCTCTGTAAACGTAACATCTGCTCAATGTCTCATTTTACAAGATTCATGAATCTTTCGTAATGCGAGTCCTCCTATCCTGTTTACAAACCATTTAACTTTAACCATATTCTGCTTGTAGAAAATCCCTTAAAAAACCAAAACCACTACGACCTCGAACATATAGGATTTCCAACCTCTACGACATAACTACACTTACTTTACTATTTTTAACTTGATTCACATTTTCATGAAGAACACAAACCACTTGAGAAGCACTATATTATAAGCAATCTAATGTATGTAACAGGACTGCATTTAACGTAGCACAATAAACACAACAGCAAAATACTACTATTGACGTAAATTAAACAATCAATACTAGTTACCAAATACTGTCAACTTCAGCTACGAACCTTTTAATAATGCAATTGTAATCTCTCTCAGCTCAAGTTTTGATAATGAAAACCATTCTGCCAACACAATACGACTGAAGGGGAAATTAAACAAATATGCTAAGAAAACTAATTAAGAATACGTAATATACGTTGTTATTTACCAATTACTAATAGTCATTTACTATGCTCCATTTCATTAAGTAAATGCGATCATTTTATTTTTCCTGGTAAAGTATGGGTAGTAAAAAAAATGCATACCTATTTGGGTATTGTTGTCCTTATTATTAGTTCCAATATTGCGGAGGTGTCGATAAAAAATATAATAAAGTGACTAATGGTCACGTTTTCGTTTTAAAAATTCTCCGAATTGTCAACGCATTCCTATGTTTTTATGGATTTGTTTATTGCCAACTTGTTGAACTCACAATTCACTTGTGTATTTAAGTTATCCATTATTAATTAAGATAACCCATTTCCCTTGTTATTTACTTACTTAGCTACACTTTTGCTGGAACCAAGTGATGATGATGATAACATGGCTTCAAGTGGTCATTTTCTTTTGGTGCTTTGCTGATATGCGTCCCTTCCTCGCCTATCTCTCTGCCCAACGTATAAAAGATTCCACATTGTTGTAATAAATAATTAAATTCAGCAAGTTTTGCAGATTTTTCGAGACAGAATGATGGAGCCGACATTTGCATGAAGTATGACCAACGAAAGAGAGGGCGAGGATGAGTTTAATTATTATTATCTATCTCAGTCCTCATCCTCATCCACGAAAGCTAAACTAAAAGGCATAACACAAACGAGAATCATTCCATTGAACTAAAACATCATCACAAATAATTACAGATTCCAAGGTCGCCGGGCTCCATCCTACGCCAAATAAATGATCATCACACTCCTAAACTGAAAAGCTGAACTCTGAATAAACAGATCTGCTTGGTAGTCATCTCTTCACGACAAAAGTAAAGTGTAAAGTGTGTCCAATACACTTTAATCCGTGTTATATGAGCATTATCACAATTGTGTAATATTTAACGAGTTCTGCTAAGAACACATTATTTTAAACTAAACGATGAACTTAAATACTGGAGAAAAAATTACTTAGAAATTCGAGTCTCCACTGAATTTGCCATAATTCATAATGTAATCAAACAACGATTTCTTATGAGCGGATCACTACATCTAATATGTAATTTATAACTATAATTTCCTTATGAATTAATTAACTGACGTTAAATTGCAACAAAATTAAAAGTTCTTACCATAAATTGGAGTCTATTCTTATATTTTGATGTTTCACGATTTGTTCTTACTAAAATAGCTGTAACTGTTCTCTTAAATTATTTATTGTTGTGTAATCTGATCAAACTAAAATTGAAAACGACAATTTAGGATTTTTAGGATTTTGGTTTCAAGTTTCCACGCAATCTGATGCACGTGAAGGGACGGAATAAGACAAAAAATCTCGGCAGCAGCAGCAGTCTCATCTCTCCTCCTCCACAAATGCAGATTCAACAGATCCCACTTTTTTGTATGGATTCTTATGCAGGAGTGGATGGATAACCATTTTTACATGCATTTTACTCTAACAACTCATAAAATTGTCTAAGAACTGGACTTTCTATTTTATTTGACAGCCATAAAAATTATTCATTTTTTACATAACTCATAAATTAAGTATGGCATAAATGTCATACGTCAACAAATATTGACATGAACATGGCGTTTGTTTGCAAAGCTAAAACCTAATAAACGGGATTTCTTATCGTCTTATTTTCGCAAAAAAAACTATAAATTAGATGGATCTGTTGTCACGTAAAATACGACTTTCACATGAACTTGTTGATTCGATTTCGATGCGGCTGCACCTGACAGGTTGACACTTTTAATGTGACACAGTTGACACAATTGACTCACTTTGCCGACTTGATGACTTGATACAATTGACAATAAATAAAAACCAAGAATAATGCTGCTTGACGAAAATCAAAATAGTTCACCTGTGAAAGAACCCTCGTCATCCACTTTAGGAGAATATGGCGCAGAACAATTGCCCAACTTTGTCTGCTTTCCTCGAAAATTATTCTCCACGCTGGAAGCGTTTCGGAGCATTTCCAACACTCGAATTGACAAAGTTATGACGGAAAACAATAATGATTCGGTTGAAAGTGAAAGTCCCGTCCAGGAAGTTCGGGTATAAAAAACTTTTCCTAAAACAACATGCATTTGCATTCGACTAAAGTTACCATTTATGATAACATGACGTAAAGGAAGAAGAAGTTAGTAAAAATATTTGCAAATGGCGTGCCGCTGCGTCCAGATACCTCAGCATGAATGATACTCCTAACACGGCAAGAGATCCCGAATTTTCGTACGATTACGAAACCTACATGTTTCAAGTTCACAAGAATTTGACGAATATCGAGGAAGCAAAAAGTCCAATTGAGACTGCTGGAGAGGAAGAAGAAGCCTTTAATCTAAATGAACAAGAAGTCCAACAAATGGAAACAATGCAAAAATTTGGACACATTTCGACTAAAGATTATCAGGAATACATGGAACTACCAGATGACCTACGTTTTTTACAAATTCCCGAGGAAAAATGTTAGTCTAGTAATAATCTTAAAATGCACATTAGGAGAAAGTTGGCTAATTTTGGGCTTAAAATGATACAGCCAAGCCAATTATTGATTCTACATTTGGCGTAAAAGTCCTTGGCATATCGGACTCTGTCCTTATCAGAGTTTCTGTTTTACCAAGTTCAGGTGAAGATCCAATACGTTAACAACTTGTCTGACCCGCTTATCAAAAATCTTATAAATCATTGGACAGACATTCGAAACGCCTTCAAAGAGAATGGTACATACGGTTTCGCCCCCATTTACGAGGTCTGCATGAGATCCGGCCCAGCCATGCTCTTCATGACGGAGACGACCAACTGTATGAATCGCCTCCTCTCGTGCAGTTGGGCTGGATGCACGCCGTCCTTCACTGCCAAAGTGGTCGACCCTTATGGCAACTTATCCATGACCTTGACAAATTCAGGGGTCGGCTGTTCCTGCTGTTTGTCCAGTAATAAAGTATGCTCAATAATTAATCCCTACATGAAAAACACATTTAAGCAGCAATTTCACTAGGAATTCAGTGTCACCCTCCCTTCTGGAGAACTGTTGGGGACCATTTGTCAAAGCCGTGATAGCCGAAGGCACCTCCTCCTAACCGATTGCGATACCGTAATCCAAGCCAAAGGCCCGATACCCTCAATTTGTTCCCAAGTGGTGAACAGCTTACTCTCCATGGTGTGCAATTTTTGCTGCCTCAATTGCTTTCTGGGTGGCGATGAAGTTTTTAACTTCACAGAAGGCAAGAACAGTAATAAACTGGTGGCAAAAATTAGAAAAATCAGAACTGAAGTTGCCATTCATTCTTCTGACGTGCGGTGGCTGAGTAAGAACAAGGGCGACGGATTCGGGAAGGAAGATGATGATGACAACAACAATACTCGTAAGAAGAAAAAAAGCAAGAAGAAGAAGGACGACACGAATGACGACGACGACGACTATTGGCAACCTGAAGATAAGCAGAAGAACACTGTCGAATACGTCAAATCGCACCAAGTTCTCGTCGACTTTGGGCAGAGTCTGTCTCTCCGGAAGAAATCGCTCATACTTTCCGCCGCATTTTTAATTGTTTGTCGCAATAATTAATAATGAAACAAATTATTACAATATTTATTTATCTATCTCGCTAATACATGTAATTTGTGATTTTTTTACAGGATTTCCTTTACTGGCAGTCATCCTCGGATTCATACGCGTACAGCCATATGCAATAATTATTTAAAGAAATCATACACATTTTCATCAAACTTTCTCATACAATATGTAAATATGTAAGAAAGAAGTGATACACGTGTTACAACACCGTTACAAACTTTGTGATTGAATAATAAGGAATTATTTTTATAAATAAACCGTCCTTTGACAGTGACACTCTGATCTAACGGAAGAGTATTTGTTTGTATTTCTGGCCAAAGCGATACCAACCTCTCCTTCGGGCCGCATACCAGCTTCATTTCCTGTAAAAACAAACAAAAAGTCGCATTAATCTCGACTTTCACGATTTCATATAAATTAGCGTGCACACATAAATGTTTAAACCGTAAATTGCGAACGTGCCGCCCAACTCTGGCTGAGGCTTTAAATAAAACTTTAATAAATACGAAAAATGACCACGTACCAGAAATTAAATCCGGGATAATCCTCATCGACCCAAACTCTACTCTTTGTGGTCTCGCCTCCCGCCGACAAAGGACAACTTGTCGCATCATGGCGACAAACTCTTGGCGAAACTTTCTTCCAAAAGCGCAGTAAATGATAAAGTTTCCAGCAGAGTTGACCGTGAGGAGGAAATTGCCAAGTTGGTCCCAAAATGGGGGGTAGGCTTGGTTGAAATAGGTCAAAAGGTCAATCACGAGATAATCCAGGCTGCAAATTAGGAAGAGGGCGACGATCGAGACGAGCATCATGGCAAAAGAAATTTCCCTCTTTTGGAAAGAGGTCAACTTTCTCCTGGCTTTGTTGGATCGGCGGACCTATCAGAGTTAGTTGATAACTATACTTATCATCCACTGAAAAGTAAAAATCTGAATAATTACCTCTTTGAATATTTTGTAGTTAAAAAAACTCAGAGATGTAAACGGGATGAAAAAGATGACGAGAAAGTAGCCCCAAAAGATGTAGAGGGATTTGTACAAGGGTTTCCTTCTCAGGGCGGAGATCTCCATTGTGTATCTTAATTAATTACATGACATAATTAGTAAAAATACGTTAAAAATGTAGCTGTTCCGAATATTTAAATGTCCTCACGTGGTCACATTAGCATTCAAGGTCTCGTTAAACACGGTGGAAACCTCTGTGTAAAATTCCAACCATCGGGTGGCTATACAATTTTAACATACAATTAACTTTAATTAGTAATTACGTAATACATACATTAAAATTTAACTTGTGAAGCTCACCATTATACAAAATGGAAAACACCATGACCAACCCCCCCAAGAGATATGCTCTTCTCTTTGTACATAAAAAACGTGCCTTGACCGGCCAACAGACGGAAATATATCGATCAATTGACAACGCCACAGTAAAATAGGTGGATCCACATTGAGCTAAAAACAGCAAAACCACAAATCATAGTCAGTAAATGAGTGAGTGGTCATTTTAGACGCATTTTGTATCAAAATGCCCCACAAACTTTCTAAAATAAATCTTACAGGTGAACGTCAACGCCCTGATGCAAGGTCCACAGATTGGATAGATAACCTCCGTATAACTGTTCGTCATCCCGTAATATGCAAACAGGGAGAGGAGCCCGTACCTCAGCAGCTTCATCAGAAGGTACACCATGTCACAAAAGGTCAGCCCCAACGTTAAAATGGAGTACGTCGACTTCATCTTCGGCCTTCGAAGGACCATCGCACTCAACAAATTTCCTACTAACCCGAACAAGCACACGATCCAGAGGGCCAAACCGAGGGGGAGGAACTCGACCGAATTTTTCACCATGGCCTCGTCGAATGTATCATTTGTCAGGAGAAAACTCGTCTCTGGACCATTTTGTCCCGAACCAGCGCCCATCGTGGTCAGCAGTGTGGACGTCGTGTGACACTCAGAGGTAAGATTTTGCTGGAAAAGTCCTCGAATCTGCAAGCCGAGCCCATTTTCTAGCTGGGAATGACTTATTGTAGACGTATAATTTTCTTGCAAAGAAATTACTCCTTCCGTCGAGGAGTCAGTCGCAGAATTGGGAACCGTTGTCTCATTTTCTCCCGAGACGAGTGACACTAATAAGGAGGAGAAAGTCGTCGTCGATGTGTTGGTTGAGTTATTCTCAGGTACGAATAAATAGTTCGGGGAGGAAATTAGATGCAAAGATGTGGAGGCGACAACGACTGGTGTAGTCGACATATTATTATTATGATGATTATTAGTTATAAATTATACACTATTTTTCTTACTAAATTATAACAGTGGGTAAAGTAAATAGTCCGAAGACGACCTCAATTCCGCCGTCTGTACGGGACATGTGGACAATAATGATAATGTTACTCGCATAGTTTTATTCAGTAATGGTCCGGTCCACTCCAGCCAATACCGACTGACACCGACGCCAACGTATGCACGTAACACGGGATGTTTGCAGTGCAGCCGTATAATTTTACTTATTTGTGTCTCGTGTGCAGGATTTCGCACATTTGCCTGACAAATATGGATGGATAATGGATGGCAGAGGATGGATTGATGGGTTCGCTGTCGACACTAGGATCGGATTGATTTTTTCCCCTTAAAAGTATTTTCGTATCCCCGTGTCGAACGGGAGACTATTGGTTGACTGATCTTGCTGAATGGGGGACTAGTTATCCAAATTGAAATTGTAGTAATGCACACACACGTCACATTTATTTCCACATCACTCACGATTCGAGACGTCTCTCTCTCTCAAATCAGAGGGGAAAAGATCTCTATTTGAGTAAAGTGGTCGTTTGAGACTAGAAAGTCCAGAGAGTAAAGTGTAAGTATAACACTCATCTTTTACCCATTAACTATCCGTGTATCCACCAGTTCTTTATCCTTCTCGGCCACTTTCTCTCTTCTTCAAATGTAAAGAGACAGCCAACTAACCGAAGTACAAGTGGCACTGTAAATCGAAACAGATAACCCACCCCTGGGAACGTCTCAGGCTGAACTGTTCTCCTATTATTACCGTGGCGTCGGGTTATGTACTCGTTCTGCGGGTGGTGACGCTTAGTCTTCTTCTTTCCCAGCTCAGGCCAGGAGGCGAGGCATGTGTGAAGATTCGCTCATCCTAAAATAAAGTACATCCAGATGGGTCATTCCCTACTGGCTGCATACACTACGTACTAGAACATGCCTCTGCTGGGTTCTTTCTGGGGAAAGAGTTTCGCAAGCAGGCGAGTAAAAGCAGCCAAAAAGATAGAATACCTTCTGCTCAAGATCTTTCTTCTTTTTTGCCTGCTTCGTTTGGCTTGTCCGCTTGCCTGCTCACGAATAAATATGTAATCAACTTTTATGACATGAAAACTCCATATACAACAAAGTGTCCTTATTTCTTTATTAGTAAGTAAACATTCCGCATTGTTCCTCGCGTTTTTATGTGAGTACATGGATACACGTAAGAGTAAGTACAGGCGAAGAGAAGGTGATGTATGGTTCGTATGCAGATATTGTAATGACATCGCATTACACAACCAACCTCAACTGGAGAAGAGTGTGTGTCACTCCTCAGCTTAACTGCCTATAGGACGACATACATGTACTAAAAGTATTAAGTACTCACTCTCTGCGGAGAGAAATTATCCATAAGTAAGCAATTCTCGGTTGTCTCCTCGGTTGAAGGACAAAACGACAACGCGTGTAGCGTGGCATGGCGTGGCGTTACTGGTGGCGTGGTGGACACATCCCACAAAAATTGAGCGTAGTGCGGGCCGACCAAAACCGGATTGACATTATAACATTATAAATATGTATGTACTTACTTACACAGCACGACTGGATGGGAGGAGGAAACGTGCATTTAACCAGAGTTGTTGTATTTAAATACTTCGGTATTTAAGATCAGTATTTAATTATTTGTTTGGGTGTTTATTATTTATTATTTAAAAACTAAATGCTGAATTTCAAGTATTTAGTATTTATTATTTAAATTCTTGGGTGCATAAGATGTATTTAACCAATTAGTATTTAAATACTTTAAATATTGCAGGTATTTAAAAATTAATTATGTAAATATTAATTTTCTTTTACATGATGAAAAACTCGGAATTTGGACGTTGTTAATTACCGAATTCACAGCATTCATTTGGTGCTCTGAGGTATAGATTAATTTTATTGGTGCAAAATCAAGCAGTTTATTACAACCCGTGTTGTATAATGTTTGAAAATCAATCGAATATTTATGAGTGGAAATTTTAGTTAAATTGGAAATTTAAAGAAACAGTTTGTATTTTAGCTTTTTTAAGCGTTTTCACATTGTCTACTCATTCTCAGCTTGTGACACAAATTATTAATTCCATGTATTTAGTCTTACTCTAATTTTCACAAACATTTCCGAACATTTCTAAGAGTTAAACAAGCTCATCTTTTAAGCAACTGATTTATTTTAATCCGAACTCATTTTGTTTGATGACGATTCTACTCGAGAGTATAGATTTAAACTATTAACAGCTAGTAATTCAAATTCTGCCAATATTTAAATACTATTTAAAGAGTATTTAGATAACTGATACTTAAATACTTCAGATATATTCAGGTATTTAAGTAATTGAGTATTTAAATGCTTTCCCAAAATTCGAGTATTTAAGGATTTAGTATTTAAATATTTCAAATAAATTCAGTTATTTAAGTATTTAATACTTAAATATCACTCAAATATTCAAGTATTTAGAAATGAAGTATTTAAATACTTTTAAGGTATTTAAAACAACTCTGCATTTAACTTTCATACATATAGCGCAAAAAGCTACATAAGAACATCTGTGATACTTTCCCATAATTGGAGATAACATCTCGCGGATCGACATATCCCATGGATGAATATTAGTTAAACTTCACGTTGCTTCATGTCCGTTGAGACGTACACAAGGACGTTGATGCCAAAGCCACGGCCGAACAAGTTTGCTCTCGTGCTTCGAGGTTAGATTAGATCGGGATGAATTCACTGATGTAGTTTTAGTTTCTGCTTTTCTTTTCACCACTTACTACTTTCCACACAGCCATTCTCATTATCCCACCCGTTCGATACACTTTCTTCGCTCGGGAGAAGAAGAATGTGCAATAATCATTTCATCCTTCGTTTTGAGTTTAGCATGACAATCCATAATCTCGTTCGGGGTGAAGATTAATGAAGACAAATGGCGTTGCTCTTTAGAGTTTCTTGTGGTTCGGTTGGTTGGTGAGAGAGGTGAAATGAGACGTGGATGAGAATTCGGGCAAGAAAAAGGGTTTAGATGAACTACCACAAAAACTGAGAGAGAAAGGAAGGAAGGAAATTTTGTAGACTGCACTTTTCTTGCTTTTTGGCTCTCTCAACTTTATTCTACTTGTTCTTTGGACCATATAATAATACAAAAGGGAGAAAAAGCAAAAGGTGAAAGTTGAGAATTATTGCTGCCTTTTACAAAAAGTAAACGAAATAATGGACCAAATCGCATTCACAATATTAATGCGAACAACTTTCTCCTTGTCTTGATGTCTTGGCTCCCAGCTAAAACTCGTTATTGTGATTTCCTACAACGCGAGCAAGATTTTTATCACGACGGGGAGGGTCGCGAATCCAGACACCTGTAAAACAAATATATGTAGTAAGAGTTATGGTGGATGATGATATTTATGCGAGGGGAATACAACCAAGACGCGAATTTCTTGGAGAAAGTCTCCCGTGTCTCAGTCTCAATATTTTCAGGGGATGGAGAGAGAGAAACATTTGGAATTCTAGTCTGGCCGGAGGAACAGTGGCCGCGGAAGCGTGGGGACAATGGAACAATGTCCCCACAGTTACTCGATGTCCCCATCATCTGTCCATGTTATACAAACCCCTCCCTCCCCTATCCTACAGTGTTAATGTCCCCACAGCTTCCACGGCCACTGCATCGGAAAGACTTATTATGTATGTGTCGCCTGCCCGTGTAGATATGACATGGACCATTTATTACAAAGGATTGTGATACGCATACAATTGTAAAATACGACTCGATTTGCAGACGACCAAGGACGAAGATTCCTCACACTTTCTCGTACATAAATGTGTCTCTAAAACTTTAATCACAGGTGTGCAGCATGTACATACGTCGTACTTACTTCGGATGGCGTGACACCGCGTCGTCATAAATTTGGGAGTGTGTGGTCGAGTGACGTATCGACATACGTGGCCCTTACATAAGAAGGCAATAAGGAATCTATTTCGAGTCCATTTCCAGTACTCATCATCATTATGAAAGATCGTAAAGTGACATACGTAATAAAATCGGGTATCCTGCTACTGCATGTTGGGGCTCATATTTCATAATTGAATTTTCGCCAGTTATTATGAGAGCGTCCAATTATAGTGACATGACATGGGGGCATTATGTACGTCAACTTTCCATGTATTGCTCATTTCATCAGGATTTGTGAATTTTGTTAATCTCGCTCGGGTTTATGTACTTGTGTGTAACCTTGAGATTCATTAATGTGAATTTAATTCTGGGAATTTTACCTGTGGTTGTAAAGATATCTTGTGACTGGGTCCCCAACGCCCTGCTGCAATCCATGCATCCCAAATTGTCAAATATGGAGCTCAACTCGTCCCGGAACTTGTGCCCGCAAAGGCAATAAATTAAAAAGTTAACGGCCGAGTTCACCTATAAAGGAAACGAATTGCAAATTAACTTCATGTATATACACTGCCGTGTTTATATACCGTCGTGCATTCGCGAGTTTGACTTTGTAAATGAATTGCTAAAGTTATAGTAATAATGAACTAATTTAATTTGTATTCACCGTGAGGAGAAAGTTCCCAACATCGTTCCAAATTGTGGGATACCGATAACCCGTGTAGTCCAACAAGTCCAACACCAAGTAGTCCAAGTTGCAAATTAGGAAGACCTTTCGTTTGCAAAAATTTGTCAAGATTTACCAAGATTTTGAAATTCTTTCTATTAATACAAGTTATGTATTTACGATAACCACGCCGATCAACATGGTGGAGAAAGAGGTGTCTCTTGACTGCGTGGTCGAAAGGGTTAAACCACCTTTTTTGATGTCTTTCAACTATAATTAGTTTAAAATTAGTGTACAGAATAATTAAGGAAACGAATCTTAACTAATGGGCGTACTCATGTCAAGCTATGCAAAATTCTCAAAATTTGCCATAATTTACGAAACGATATGAAAAACAAGTCATAAATGGGACATCATTATTACAATTTTGGTCTTGACGTGCCTGCGCCGATTAGCTTATCGTGCCAAATTTCTCACCCCCTTCCACACCAGGTAATTAATAATCGTTAACGTAATGACGGGAAAGAAGAACATTATTGTGATATAAGCCCAGAAAATGTAGTACTTCCGGTAGTACTTGTTGCCCTCCCGCAGTTCGGAAATGACCATTTGATACCGGATCTCGCCTTCGCCATCCTCATCCTCACTCGTACAAGTCACCGTGTGGTATTCGAACCACCGAGGAATCTAATTAATTAAGCAAAACCCCACACTCGTAAAAGGCCAAATTATTTTCATTATTCCGAATTTTCTCAGTCTGAGATGAACTGGATACATATATGATTTTATAAGCTACGCAATATATACATAGTATTTGTTTACGTACGTTGTACAGGACTGAAAACAAGATCATAATCATTGCCAACAGTCTCGCCTTCTTCGTCGTGCACAATCTCCTCGCCGTGTGTGGTCTAGATATGACCAGATACCGGTCAAATCTACAAGACATGGATAAATATTTACACACAATTAATAATCAGACATGGATTTTCAGATTAGATTTTTTGATAAAAATTAATGAATCCATTAAACACCACACTTACGCAATGGCTATAGTCATATATGTGCTGGCGGTGTGTGCTGCCGTAAAAAAAGTTCATTTTATGTATCATATATAAGTATTAACTGGCAATTAATGTACGATTTAATTACCGGTGAAGGTGAGCGGCCTCAAGTAGGGGCCGTACATGGGGAGGAAAACGTTGGTGTAGTCGTTGAAGATCTGGAACTGTGAGAATATGGAGAGGAGTCCGTACCTCATTAGTTTGACGATGAGATACACCGTGTCGACCAAGGTGAGTCCCAGGGTCAACACGGAGTAGGATGAGGACCGAAGTTTCTTCCGTGTCAGGACATAAGCACTAATTACATTTCCCGTGATCCCCCCCAGCGTCACAACCACGATGAGAAATCCCAGAGGAAAAAGGGGAAAGTAGGTTTGCGCACTGTCAACCGTATTAATTTCCGGTTTATTTCCAGACCCGTTCAGTTGACAGCCTTTTAGCCGAAAAAAATCATAGTCGTCCTCCGCAAGCGTCATAATGCTGATGATGTTATTAGTTTTTCTTCAAAGTTTAACTACTAGATAGGTAAACTAAATAACCCGGGATTCAAAACCCATTAAAAGTTGGAGAACAAAGTATTCCTGGTGAAAGGAAGAGATTCAACTTTTCCTCGGAGAGAAAATTATGTTATGTGAGTTCTTTTTTGTGGAAAGTAGGACGATAAAGGGTTTATTGCTTGGAATAAGATTGCTTAGTTGACATTGAGGTAAAAGTCTTGAAAATAAAATTTGATAGGGTAATAATTTTCATTATTTTATTAATACTGTCGAACCATGTACTTACTTACTTTACGCTCTCTTCTTACGATGAGTATTTGTTAAACATCTTTTAATCCGCGATCCATACATACATATCAGTCGTTATATTTAAATAAGATGAATTGCCATCTTAAATACAAACATGACATGCCAGCACGAAAAGCATTTGCATGAATATTATTAATATTATATAATCTTCTTCGTCCTTATGCATGTACATACTGATGTATGCACTGAAGTAGGAAAAGTGTTCAATTTATAACACATTAATTAATTACCAAATGTCACAAGCATGTAAGAATATACTAAAAACCACTCTGTCCAAATATTAGGCCTGCTTTCCTGCCATATTCACATACTTATTAACATTGCGAATATCTGTACTTATCAAAGTGAACACATATCCAACGGAACGACGATAAAATATTGAGTTGTTGGAGAAATTAAATTACCATATAAAAAGCATATTATTATATATCCTCATCATCTTGTGCATCATATTCTATGCATAAATTAACCAGGATGAAACACTTGTAAATGGACAGGATTCTTGGTACAATTTCATACCCATTTGCTTGGGTTACTTTCCATCCACCGATATTTATGTAAACACTCATCATCCATCGGTCATCATCGTTGTCGTCGTCGTCGTCGTCTTCTTATCACACTTTGACACACTCATGAATAATAAAAAATACCAGAGTCACAACATCAACACGTACATTCGAGTGAGTGAGCGAGGGCCAAAAAGCAAAGTATAAGTGCCAAGAATCCATGAGGTGCTATTACAATTCCATCATTCATGAGGAAGGCATTCCATAAAACGAAATGCATTTCACCACCACCAACCACATACATAATGGGATAATCTCGACACGTCAACCGATTCAAGCACGTCTTCACTAAGTCATCCATCCAGTTTATTCCGGTCCGTTCGTTCTAAGCACGGAGGAGAAGAAGGCCGGCCACGCCAAAGTAGATGACGCCTTGAATGATGGATAGCGACTGGAAGAAAAATCATCCGTTTTATTATTATGTAAAAGATAATCTGGTAATCCGGTCTGATACGGTATTTCAGGGAAAGAAAGTTGATCTTAATCTCACCCCAGCAGCCACTTTCTCCTCGTACAGTTGGTACGTACTGTTCGTCACGATATCAGCCACACACGGGATGACTTTCTCCCCGATTTCGGTGAATAACTTGTCAATGGAGATGGCAGAGTAGAGAAACATGGAGCCAGTGCCAATGACTAGAAGGCCAGTGATGCCATTATATACGATGTCCTGTATTTTTTTTGTAATTAGTTTGCCAAATTTTTAATACATAGATTTATTTGGTGTTCCTTACGGCGAGCTTGAAAAAGGTTTGGGACAACTGCCTGCTGAAAAGGTTTCCGACCAGGCCGAGCAGTGAGAGTGAAAAGGTGAAGAGGGCTACGACAATGAAGACTTTCTCTAAAAGAAGGCTCGGACAAGTGGCGTCTACTTTGATGGAGGTGTCATTTTTTAAAAGATCGCAGATCTGGTAAACTTCATTTTTCACCCAAGGAGAGGAAAAGTAGCTGTGACATCCGACACCGACAATTACAACGCCAACTATCTATGATTTAATAGATTTATAAAAATCTCATGTTTTCTTTGTCCATCTTTTTCAAAATTTTGCACGAGATGTCAAATAATCAATATGTATATCTTACCACAACTCCTAATTTGGCAAGGCCATACTCCCTCCCAAGGTAGGCCAAGTAAACCATAATAATTTGCAAATTGCAATATTTATCACTACATGGAGGTTTCCACTGAAAATAATTTTGCCATGAGTCGTTTCGGTCGCACGTTGATGACGGGTGACGGTGTGGAATAAGGATTACTCAGATAGACAAACATATAATAAAACAGATATAATCATTTGTTGCCGCATTACCTGAACCAAGGCAGATCAACATATTTAGATATGAATGATATCATTTTTGTTAGGATAACATTGATAAATAAATCGATCAACTCGTTTTCATCAGAGTTGGATGATATAGGGCAACCTTGAATATGCATGTTGCATTTATGTAGCTGGGATTTTGTAAATTAAATTATGCAAGTTTTCATGAGATCCGTTCTGTGAACAAATTCAGCCCATGACAAAAAATTGACGTAACAAACACATGTACATAAGACTGGATCTTATGGTAAATTATACAGTTAACAGTCATTTAATTGTTCAAACAGAGAAATATACGATTTTCAACTACCACCTTCCACGACTAATACGACAAATATTTACATAATACCTGTTAATGTAGAAGTATACAACGAAACAGTGTTTTTATGTTTGACAGTTAAAGCGAACAATTCATATTTGAGTCAATCTTAAACAAGTTCAATTATTACTAATTAACTCCATGAAATCACATCAAATAAATCCTCATCCTAATTATTGTAATTTGTAATCGTTTGCAAGTCTTGGCATAAATTCGTGGCTAAATATACTATGTAAAACTTAAGGGAACAGGAAAATGGAACAATCAAAAATATAGAAATAAATCCAGCACTTCTATATGGTCATCGTAGAAAATTGACATGCCTTACCGACGGGTAAGTTAAAATATTTAAGAAGCGTCCGTCTTTACAATTTTGTAAAAGTACTACCAAACGTACTTCCTATTTCTTAGAGTTTCGAATAGAAAGGTGAGACATTTTTTGTTCAGAGCATCAATTTTATACGTAATACACAATTTTGTTCAATATTTTACATACCGTCGCCGGAAGAGACGTTGGCTGAGTTCATCAATTTTTAGTTGCATGCGTTTTATAAATCTAAACGAAGATCCAATTCGAAACTAGTGTAACAACGTACGTAAATATATAATAGTATAGTATACATATAAGCTTTAGTAGTAGTCGATCCATATAACTGCAGATGGGTCCCACTTTATTTAGTCTCGACTTCCGAAGAGTCGAAGCAGGTACAAGAAGATCATTATGATGTCCATGTAGATATTCAAAGCAGCAAAGATGTATTCTTGAGAAAATAGTAAATTATTATATTATTCGACCAATTACTATCATCCTGTAATGAACTATGTATCGAAATACTAACCTTCAGGACTGATGCTCATCTTATGGTTTCCTCCAATCATCAACTGAGTATCGTAGACCAGGTAGACCGAGAAGAGCAGAGCACCAGCACCAGCCAAGAACCTTGGAGAAAATAACGAGTTGATTTTATATTATGTATGGATACAAGTAAATTTTATGTAATTGAAATCTAACAATTGGAACGTCGGACCCATGAAGATAGCCAGAATGGAGAATACAAAGAGGACCAAACAGCACACAAACAACGCTCCGCCCATCTTAAAAAATAAATTTAATTAGAATTAGTATTATAGCGTTCATTTGAAACTTATAAATTCTAACCATTGTGAAATCCCATTTTGTTTGGAAGGAGAAAATGGTGAGTCCAACACACACTACAACGGTGATTCCGGCGGCTGTAACTACATCCTTGGCACTGTGACATTATAATTTAATGGTTATTAAAATGTTTCCCGTAATTTGCATAATTAATTGTTATCAATAACTCACTGGTAATGTGATGCAACGACCCCAATCACGATTCCATAAGTCAGAGTGAACAGACCCAACAGGATCATGTTGTGTGGCGACTTGCGACGCAGATTTTCACAACAAGCCAATGCAAACAGGAGGACAATCGCAATTACGTAGGTCACGATTGGGAATGCGTAATTCTGTCGCACCCACAGCCTCACCCCGTCGTGCAGGACGAAGAGGGCGATGAGTAAAGTGGTCAACAGCAGTTGTACAGATAAGATTCCGTACACTTTTCTACGAGAAAATACATCAAAAATAAAATTAATATTGGATCGCTCCTCATCTTATCTTGGTGGTAATTTTCTTTCACTAATTTACTCACCGAATGAATGCCATTCGAATAGTTTTCTCCGAAAAGTCGATTCCATGCAGGTCATCTCCGTAGGAGGATCCACTTTCATTGGAGTACGGCTTCGGACCACCACTTTCATTGGGGGGCATGTTGTATCCAGTGTGGGATGACTCGGGAAATACGAATCCTGCTGCGGGGGGTGGGGCTCCATATCCGGCCCCGTATCCAGATGGCTGTCCGCCCGCAAATCCGGTTTGAGGAAATGCTCCCGGATTTGTAAACCCTTGATTTGGAGGGTAGGGCCCTTGTTTAGTGTCCATTGTTGTACACTGCTTATCAGGTTCGATGATGATTAGTCAAAACGTTTGTCTAAAGTATTGAGAAAGTAAATTATTTATAAACCATTGGTTATCGTAGCACCAGAAAACTTCAAGCTTTTCAAATTACTCGGTTTTATGAGAAATCTACTGCTAAAACTACTTGCTAGATATAACACACGTACTATGTTGCATAGTCTATGTATAAAAGAAAGTAAAGTATTCCATATTCTATTTGCAAATTAAAAATAAATATTTGCTATTTAAAGTTAATTTTCCGTATAGCCACTTATTAGCTCATTTTTACCCCCCTAACTTTACCACCCATCAATTCAATCAATTCCAGTGACAAATTACCTCTTCTGATTATCCAATCCAGCAATATTTCGAATTTTCAAATATTATAATTTTGTACACAAAATTTTCTCCAAATTAGAAAATGAGAGCTGCTGATTTCCTATTCCCTGCTGCTGGCTGTCTACTCATATATTTAGTTAGTGAGCAATATCCGTTTATTGACACACAACTCCAACAAACAAGTCTCACGTCGTACAAAATGTTGAAAAATTATTCAATTTTTTAGAACATTCTTTTGAAAGATATTTTTTGATTTGTCGTCTATTTTGTATTTTTGATAAGGTATGATTTTGCCATAAGGAATGATGCGTAATGATGAATGAGGACGAGATGCTTGAACTGGGTCTACGTTTAAATTCTGCGAAATGTTGCAAATATCGGAATCGAACTGTTCTCGAGTCTCAATAAGCGTTGTTTTTGCCTGTAGTTTGTCAGGGAAAGCAGCAAACTTTCTCCAAATCATGTATCGGATGTCAAGGATTGTTGTTTGATTGGTACAATATGCCACGTAGAATAATTTCATTATTCCGCTCGTTGCATTATTTATGGAACGTGCAGATCGATTAATCCTAGAATTTTGCATATACAAAGAAAATTATACCCGACTTTGTAAAACCGGAAAATGTTTTTCATTCCGATAAAATGCACAAAATGATGATGGTTTTGATTATTTAAAGTGGTATCAATTTTCTTATTGACATACATACATGTTCTGCATGTTTTTCCTACAGTTCAACAGGTGAATATTTTTAAAACCAATTTTGAAAAGAACTCTGGGGGGTTGGACCTCCAATTTTACGTTCGGCAAAATCAATTAATTTGTAAATATGGAATTTAATGTTTGGGACCTGTTATGAATGATTCTATATGTTTTAAAGCACTATTGCTTGACTTAAATGCTTTTACTTTTTAGAAGTCCTTTATTTTATTGCATGAAAACCGTGTAAATTTTCGAAATAAGTTTTAAAATTTAGCATGAATAGTAATTTATCCTAATTTTTGTTCAGCATAATCACTATAAACCTATAATTAATTATTACCATCCAGAGCTCCACGCTCCCGAGAAAAATTTGTTCATAAATGAGAAATAGTTAAAACGCTCGGAAATGTCGAAATTTCAGTTTTGACGTAAACAATATTATGTTTTATGTATCCTGGATCTTGTTTTTATTCTTGGAGTAAATTATCGGACAGTACAAAGATTTATCTTACATATTTCATTTTCAATCTCATTTAATATTGCATGCAAGTGTGATTACATCAACCAAGTCTTTGCCATCTTCCGAGGCGTCGTCTTCGTGCGAACTGATTCAGTTCAACTGAAGTGGTTTATAAACGTTCGTTGTAGAATCTGTCGACATAAATTTCATATCCCTCAAATTCTCAATTTTATCCAATGATTGGAAACACCCGACTCGTGAAGCGAATAGAATTTCAGAAAAACATTTTTGTCTGGCCAGCCATGATGTCGTTGATAAAGGGTTTCTTTACTGATTCCCACCAATTTTTGACTTTTTATTCGAGATCGCAATTGCTATCTTTACGTTCAGAATCATGCAAAGGGTGGAGATAAAAGTGAGCGTCCCATGCAATCGCCATCTCAAAACTTGTAGTAAACTAAACTCACAATGTCAGTCTTGTTATTGGCGTCTTTAGTCTTTAGTGTATGGTCTTATCAAAAAATCTACTTTCGCCCTATTATTGAGATCCATAAAATACTCGTAAATAATATACTTGGATATAATCATAGGTGTTTGAGGAATCCAAAAATTGTCACCAGAGAAATTTATCACATATAACAAACAGGGAAAAATTTGTTGAGAATAATTTTAAATTTGATAATATTTATTGCATTATTGGGAATGTACTCGTAATGAGAGAGCAGTGCAAAATATATGAGATTGCATGAATACAACTACTTGATTATAATTAATCAATAAAGTCATTATTTTGAAGCACAACACAATTACGAGTAGATGAGAATTGTACATAAATATTTTCTATTAGTTCTTTCAAGTTGCATAATAACATTATTCGAGCATGCAGTATTGTCAGAATATTTGTAATTCATGCTCGACGAACTTTGGACGAAATCTTTAATTTTTATAGAAATAATTGGATAAACTCTTCCATCGTATCATTGTCTGACGCACTCTACACGGTCAAAGTTGCAATACAATCGTTCTGATCTTCAAGTTGTCGAAGAAAGTCCAATACTATCCACATTCCGATTGTTTTGAAGAGAATTGAACTCAAAACTATAGTCATTTTTCTTGACGATAATGTTAGGGTCCAGTTGGCCATGAAAAGAATAACTCCACAACCCATAAATACAGCGATTTGGTAGATTAGCCACAATTTGCATATTCCCATATTTCTCTATTTATCATGTATTTCAGAATGTTATTTATGCATAAGACGTATTATTTGTCCCACATTTCAATAATAGACTCACATGACGGACGCCATCCAAGAGAAGTATTCCCATAAGCAGAGGTAGAAGATACGACACTGTATGAATATAATGCAAATTATTAAAAATATAAAACTATTTCTAATCCAATTCTTATGCGGACTGAAAAATCCAAGCAGTCCATAATTCCATTTTTCTTCATCAGAGTTCACAGGCCCCTCTGCTGCTGCCTCTGTTAGAAATCCTAGCAGCCAAAATATACGCAATGCCTGAAAACTCGACGACACTATCTTATTAGTTTGAAATATTTATGTATGAAGCTTGATTAGAGGTTCTGAAGACTCACAAGATTGAAGAATGCAAATATTTCTGCTTTCGAAATGTTTGAGAAATGCATAAGAAATGCGACGGTTCTACCCATTTTTGTGTACTTGCACGTATAGGTACGACCGCCAGCTATATTACTACATAGATATTTAGTATTTGGTTGAATCAGCACTGGCGACAAGCTTTTTGAATACTGATTTTTCATTGCGGTCTGTTTATTGTAAGAGTTCAATGAAAAGCTACATACATACTTTTATTGTGAATTAATATTAAAATATTTACGGTTAAGATTATTAAACAAACACAATACCTCAACAATCATAAAGTTCAGATTAAGTGGAATCTAAAACTATTCATTATTCGACCCTGTATATGCATACCCTTTCACAACATGTTCTACATACAAATATAACTAACTAGCCTATAAGCCCGTCCTAACGACGGGCCAAACTTCAAATTATACACGAACATATAAAATTTACAAAAGTAAGGCAGTACGTATGGGAGCGTCCATAAATCACGTGATCGATTTTTGGACAATTTTGACCCCCTCCCCCCCCTTGGTGACCAATGGTGATAAATCCATTACCCCCCCCCCCCCGTGGTCACGTGACAGGTTACACATTAAACCTAACTTACTGTAAAACGCATGAAACCTATTTTTCGCCAAGTGTGATTTTTTGTGGCGGATTTTTTTCGCAAAAAGTTTTTTCGCTAAACTGACCTATTTCCGACATGACAACCCATAGCACAAATTAATTCAATAATAATATTCCTGTGTTTTTTTAAATCCAGTTAAATTAAATTTTAAAATTATCGAATGAGTAAGTATACAAAGTAATTTAACATTCATGACATCTTAAGGACAACTGCATACACTTTATTTCTGAAAGAATAATGAGAGTTCTATTAATGTGCACTGAAATTTGGAAGAGTGGTACATATATGCACACCAGACCCAAGATTGTCAAGTAAAAATTTAAAAATACGCCGCATAACGAATTTTAGATAAAAGAGGTTCACTATTAAGTAAATACATATTATTAAACTTATTTAAGGCGCGTGATAGTATGCGAAGAGACTTTATTGTTACTCTCTTCACATTTACTGACCTCAGAAATTAAAAGCAAAACTTTTCGTGGCATGTCACGTGACTGCCGACCATTACCCCCCCTTGGTGATAATTAGTGACAAATTTCAGACCCCTCCCCCCCCTATGATCGATCACGTGATTTATGGACACTCCCTATGTAGCTCGCAACGTGTTAATCTTCATGAAAATTATAATTTCCGAGTAAGCCATCAGTAAATATAATTCCGTGAGTGATGAAGTAGTGAGGGTTCTCCTGACATAAGTGATGAAGTAGATACAATGTTTGGTTTTGGTTGTTTGGAAATTCTTTTATGTTGCCAAGGAAATTTTTTATGTTGGGAAGCGTCCATAAATCACGTGATCGATCAAGGGGGGGGAGGGGTGTGAAATTTGTCACCTGTTATCATCAAGGGGGGGGATGCAAGCACGTGACAGACAAGAAAAGTTTTTCTTTTAATTTCGAAATAAACAGGATAATATGTATTTAATCGTTAACCTCTTTAATCTTAAATTCGTAATAAGGCGCATTTTAAAATTTTTACTTGACAATCTTGGGTCTGAATAAGACCGTCTGATTTGCATACATCTTAATTTTTTTCAAATTTCAGTGCACATTCATAGAACTCTCATTATTCTTTCAGATAATAAGTGTATGCAGTTGTCGTTAAGATGTCATGAGTTTTAAATTACGTAATGTAATGTACGTACTTACTGAAAAGACCCAGGAATATTGGTATTGGATTAATTTGTGCCGTGTGTTGTCCTGTCGGAAATAGGCCAATTTGGCGAAAAAACTTTTTCCGGAAAATAATCTGCCACAAAAAATCACACTTGGCGAAAAATTGGTTTCATGACTGTAAACCTAAACCAATGAGTTAGGTTTAATGTGTATCCTGTCTGTCACGTGACCGTGGGGGGGGGGTAATGAATTTAACACCACTTGTCACCAAGGGGGGGAGGGGGTCGTAATTGTCGTATAATCGATCACGTAATTTATGGACGCTCCCTTGCTAAGAAAATTTTTTTATGTTGCGAAGAAAATTTTTTAACGTTGCTAAGGAAATTTTTTTATGTTGCTAAGGAATTTTTTAACGTTGCTAAGGAATTTTTGTAACGTTGCGAAGGAATTTTTGTAACGTTTGCGAAGGACTTTTTTCCCGTCATATTCACAATCATAATCATTTTATTCAAAATCATATTCATAATCATATTCATACCAATAATCATTTTCATAGTCATATTCATATCATATTCATAATTATAATCATATTCATAATCATATTCATAATCATTTTCATAATCATATTCATAATCTTATTCAAAATCATAATTATATTCATAATCATATTCAGACATCGAATCTGTTCTCTCATTGGTGGAGCCAGAAAGCCGGCATCCAATCAGAATGCAGGAATGTCACGGAAAATTTTACGGGATGGGCATTTCGAAATTATAATATAGATTAGATATTATCGTGTGTGTTACTCGAGTAATAGGCTGTGTTAAATAAAATAATCTGAAAGAAACGCAGCGAGACTTCCGTTGTAAGCAATTAATTACCGCCGGGAAAGTGGCCATCATAATTTTGGAACTTTTTAAAGTAGGGGAGAACATTGTCGTATTTCCATTGCGGATCGCCCGTAAGGGATGCCCAGTTGTCGAAGTCTTTCGGATTTCCGCGCATGTAAATCATATGATTCAGATTTGAAGTCCCTCCAAGCGATTTTCCACGAGGCCATGGCGTTACCTAAATATTGGAGCAATGATTTAGATACTAATTGTTGCAAAAAATATGCCAGTTTACCTACGTTATTTTCATACGGTAAGCATGAGTTATTCTGTGGAACAGTTTTGTAGACCCAGTCGGTCACGCACGGGATTATTGAGAATTAGCCCGGATAAGTAAGGAACATCTTCCGTTATCAACGGGTCACCGCCCGCTTCAAGCAGCAACACTGCATAATAGCGTATAAATTAGAATTGCTTGTTAATTAAAGTACTTGTACGCCTTTACAATTGTACAATTTTGACCCGATTTATTTGGCATTTACTGAGCAGAAAAGTACCAAATATTTTCGTACTGAATTTCATATCAAAACATTTTGAGTCTTTCTGTAGAATAAAAAACCTACAGTGCAGACTCCATATAGCCCGAGGGACATAGTCCCTGACTCAATAAGTCCGAGCCCGCTTCTAATTTTTTTCCGAATTGACCGACATACCTAATAGCACAAACTTCCGCGTTGTGGATGGTCAAAAACTATATGTGTTGTATTTTTGTGTCATTTTTAACCCGAGTCAGGGCTTATGGAACCGTCATGTCCGTCCGTCCGTCCGTCTGTCTGTCCGGCACGATAGAGCCAAAACGGCTGAACCGATTGACTTTAAATTTTTACCATATGCATATTGGACAAAGTTATTAAACGAGTTCGAAGATGGGCGAAATGGGTCTAGTGGTTGACCGGTGGGGGTCACCTGAGTGGGTGGGGTATTATGCACCAAAATTTCAAAATTGTTGTAGAGAGCTGAAATTTGGTACAGAGGTTGCTAATGGCTCCTACTGTTCATCCAGTATTATTAGTCGCAAAAAATTCTGAAAGGTTACCTGGCAGATTATTTATTTTTCAATTAGCAACCAAATAACCTCTCAGAAAATTTTCCAAGAAATTGCGACTATTAATATTGGATGAACAGTAATAGAAAAAAATAACTTCAGGTTGGAAAAATTTTCATCTTGAGTGACCCTATGGGGGTGACCCATACCGATTTTTCAAAACCATCATATCGAACTGAAAATTGGTGGAGAGGTTGCTTATGGGTCTTATCTTAATGAAAGAATATGATATGATATTGGTAAAATTGTTATCTGGAGCGACCCTATGGGGTGACCCATACCGATTTTTAGAAATTGCTTTAAAAAGATGAAATCCGGCACAATGATACTTAATGGCTTCTAATTAAAGAATATGAAGTCAAAAGTGAGCAAAGTGCGACCAGAGTGACCCTATGGGGTGACCCATACTGATTTTTCATAATCGTTATATCGAGCTGAAATTTGATATGGAGGCTGAAAAAGTGAAAACCACTGCTGGGTAGCACATGCATACAGCTTAGAACTAAAGAAGCCCACTGGTGGTCAAGGCACATGATTTGTAACTAATTCAAAAATTCAAAAATGGTAGAAACTATCTAAGAAACTTTTGACCATCCACAACGCGGAAGTTTGTGCTATTATGTCGGTCAATTCGGAAAAAAATTAGAAGCGGGCTCGGACTTATTGAGTCAGGGACTATGTCCCTGACTCGGGCTATATGGAGTCTGCACTGTAGGTTTTCAACATAATCAAATTTTAACGAGTTGTGGTTGTAGTCAAAAAATGGAATTTTCAAAATTTTCAAAAAATGCAGTTTTTGGACAATATCTCGAGAACTGCTGAGGTACGACGTCGATATTCTTGTAGATTCTTTATGTACGCAATTACAAAATTTGGAGGTATTTGAGGTAATATACGCAAATATTGGTATACACAAATTGCGTATTTGTACTAGTATATGCTATGAATTGTACCTGCTACAAGTTTCATGCTATGAACCGTCTGGCACCCGTCATAAATTACTACTAGTATCTGTAAGATTGTATTTTTAATTTAGAATTACGTGTTTATCATTATGCGAAAAATTATATTGTCGTTGAAAGCGTTATTCAATTAATTTCAGTGTTGATATTAGAATGCATGTAAAATCATAACGGGCTACAAATCTATTTTTAACATGTTCTAACGGTTTTTCAAGCCTGTATTTGGTATTTAACGTGTTCTGATACTGCATTTCAGTGCAATTCTGCAATTTACTTAATACATTTAACTGCAACAACAGTCATAGAATTGGAATTAACATGTCAAAATTACTCCAACTAATTGTAATGTTTAATATCGCATTAATATTATCCGATAAGTGTAGTAGTGCTTTTGGATCGCAAAACTTCCAACCATTTAAATTAGGTTCTTGGAAAAAACGTATAAAATTTTCCAAAAGAAACACGCCTAAAAAATAATTGACCCATTTTTTTGTCAGATTCTACCCTCCGAATAATTTCATCCGCCCCTACTCCATCTGGATTAAGGTTTGGCTGTGTAACGGAAAAGAATCAAGATTACGACGAAATTCTGGAATTGTTTGCCCAACACGATGAATCAGGTCGGAGGGAAGTTGCGCGACTAGACTTTTCCTCACCCACGCTTCTACGCACTTCCAGTTTGGATGACATCTCAGGATTATATGAATGGCCGGAAGAATGCATTTCGGGACTAATTTCATCCCCATCCCCGGAAATACCTCACCATCACGGCACAAAAGATGAACTTGACCAGAGTCTGAACAATGGCGACGACGAATCATTGGCATCCTTATTCTTCGGAGGGTGCAATTGTCCTCCCGGTCCTGATGGAAGAGATGGCCCAGCTGGACTTATGGGCTTAATTGGTGTGACTGGAAATCCAGGAAAAGATGGTGAAATTTATTAAGTGGCTGTAGCTACGTATTTAAATATGTACTTAAAATAATAATACGCATGTACTTTAGGAAGTAATGGGCTGCCAGGAAATCGAGGAAGGATCGGACGGAAAGGAGAACCAGGATATCGGGGTGCAAGAGGAGATAAAGGTCATTTTCGTTAATCATGATATGGCAATCCATCAAACCCTGGTTGGGGATGATTTTATGCAATATGTAAATATTCTGATGATCGTTTTCATTCAGGTGATCGTGGGGACGTTGGGGATATGGGTTCCCCAGGAAAAGATGGACTGGATGGCCTCTCAGGAAGGAATGGTCGAAGCGTGACCTACGTCAGTGGTGGTCGTGGTGGAGGGAATGGTACTTTGCATACAAATTCGAATGATAATTCCACGTCATCTTCTTCAGGTAAAATTAAGAGTATTTGATAATGTACATATTTAGTTGTCATACTGAATCCTACTTTATCTCAATTTAGAGCAAAATTTTCTCCGAACCACAACCAATGGAAAAGTTTCCCAGATTCCTATCGTTCTTACAATCAAACAAAACAATAGGAAGTAATAAGTTAGTAAAAATAGGGATATCACACGATGTTCAAATATTTCGAATTAAGCGAAAAATTATTTTTTAATGGAATTTTGTAAAAAAAATGTATACATAAAAAATGCAAATCTGAATTTTAGTTCAAACTTAAATATATTTTATACATAATATTAATATGGAGTAAGAAGGAGGACACGGGCATGCTTCTAATTAGATTGAGTTTATTGGCTATAATTAATTGACCTGAATTCGCATTTCCTTATTAACTTGTGCAATAACCCATGAAGCTAAACTTTTGCATACTAATCGCATCTTCCACCATTTGTTTATGAACAACTTTGACAGTGTCTACCTTTTTCAGGAATTTTGGTTTAAAATATAAATAAGATGTTCAAGTTTTTGATCCCAAACCGTAATTATTTTTTAATACTGCTCCTAATAATTTCTCCCATATTCGGTTCATGGCAAGACGAAGAAGAAACACAATTTGAAGATAATTCTCCATCCGATCACATTGAGACGAGGACAAGTGATGGCGTCTGCACTTTGGACAAAGCGTGTCAAGCCATATCCTCTTTAGAAATTGTCTCTTTGTTAACGTGCACTTGTATGCGGGGTTTGAGTTTGAATTGTTGCGTCTCAACTTTCCCTTCCCCCATACATTCAAATGGCGATTTTGAAACCCATAGATCTCTGTGGGTTTTCTACAATATGAAGATTTTAATGCACATAAAAATCGATAATTTTTAGGTTTACAAAGTTAGGACTGTAGAATTTTGATTTTTTTCTTAAATGAGAAAATATTTAGTTTTTACTGATTATTTTGCATCTATTTCATATTTATTTCCTGATGGAAGAAAAAAATCAAAATTCTACAGTCCTAACTTTGTAAACCTAAAAATTATCGATTTTTATGTGCATTAAAATCTTCATATTGTAAAAAACCCACGGAGATCTATGGGTTTCAAAATCGCCATTTGAATGTATGGGGGAAGGGAAAGTTGAGACGCAACAATTCAAACTCAAACCCCGCATACAATGCCACCTTAACGAGACGAATTTTGTCATTAGAACAGCCTTGTAAGGAAACTAACCAAAATCGATCTTAAACAAAGGGATTTCTTTAAAAATTGGATTACTTATTTGCAGTGTGGAAAATTTCTTCTCATAATTTCCGGTGGCCGTTCTGCTCAAATTTGAAGGAGGGAGGCCCCTGCAACTGCACGGCTCAAAGTCTGCACGTCAACTGCTGGCGTCTTTCACTTCACGAACTTCCTGCCACGCAAACAATCCCGTTCGACACTGCATTTCTGTACTCATAAAAATATCTAACCAGATTTAACAATTTATTCCCGTACAAAATTGTCAACACTTTTTCTTTCTGTGTAGAGATCTGAGTTCCAACAAACTCCAGGCAATTCATCGCCATTCGTTTCTAGGGCTAAGTCGCCTTGTTCAATTGTACATAGAATGTAACAGAATTTCCGTTCAAATAATAAACATTTTATGTCGACAATACTTGGCAAACTTGATTAATTGTGTTGATAAACATTGGTCAATTGTTTTCCAAGTCCCATTTATTTATGTATACGAAATGAATAAAGTTCTAAAAGTAATCAACTATTTTCTATCGCATCCACTAAGAATTTTACCTTTTTCGCAACATATTTAGTTTCTTGAGGGGAAACCAAATTCGCGATAAAAATGTCAGACTTGGTCATGCTACTGGTGAAAGGTGACAACTTTTACCTATTCGTTTTTTGACCTGAAATTCCGCTTACAATCGAATTTGTCATATTTCTAGAGTTTATATTTGCTTCGTTGGCAGTCATAACTATGAAATTGACCTCGTTCCTGGCTGCGATTAATTATTCGACTGACCTGGCTACTAACCCAAACCAAATTGGAGATCAGGCCATGCGATACGACTTTATCATTGGTAAAAAAAATTCGTATGTAACATATTGGTTTCCGAAACTTTTATTATTTTTTGCGTCATATAGTCGGAGCTGGATCGAGTGGAGCAGTAATAGCGAACAGGCTATCGGAAAGTGGCCAATTTAATGGTGACCCTGCACTTTTTCATACTTAACACCTACAATTAGTTTTTCTCTTCAAACAAAGTGTATATATTTGTGTGTACCTCAAAATTCCGTAATTGCGTACATAAAAAATCTGCAATAATATTGGGTTCAGTAGTTGAGATATTGTCCAAAAACTGCGAATTTTTTCAAAATTTCAAAATTTTGATTTTTTGACGACAACCACAACTCTTTAAAATTTGATTATAAGTTGAAAAATTACACAAGAATACAACACGTACACATATATAAAGTTTTTTATTTGACAGAAAGACTCAAAATGTTTTGATGTGAAATTCAGGACCAAAATATTTGTACTTTTCTGTTCAGTAAATGACAAATAAATGTGTCGGATCAAAATTTTGAGGAAAAAGTCAAAATTGCACAATTGTAAAGGCCTGCGAATACTTTAATTAACAAGCAATTCTAATTTTAATTTTATACGCTATTATGCAGTGTTGCTGCTTGAAGCGGGCGGTGACCCGTTGATAACGGAAGATGTTCCGTACTTATCTGGCCTAATTCTTAATAACCCCATGACCGACTGGGTATACAAAACCGTTCCACAGAATAACTCATGCTTAGCGTATGAAAATAATGTAGGTAACCTGGCATATTTTTCGTAACAATTAGTATCCAAATTCTTGCTCCAATATTTAGGTAATGCCATGGCCTCGTGGAAAATCACTTGGTGGGACTTCAAATCTGAATCATATGATTTACATGCGCGGAAATCCGAAAGACTTTGACAATTGGGCAACCCTCACGGGCGATCCACAATGGAAATACGACAATGTTCTCCCCTACTTTAAAAAGTTTGAAAATTATGATGGACACTTTCCCAGCGGTAATTAATTACTTACAACGGAAGTCTCGCAGCGTTTCTCTCAGATTTTTTTTACCTAACTAGTGTCAATCGGTTTAATTAATCTGAAATTTGCAAAAGGAACGATCTCCCAATGCGTAGGTTTCGAAGAGGTTCGAGATTCGAAGAGGAGACAACGCTTAGTAAATACTAAATTTGGAAAGCGTAAAATTTGTTAGGACGCGTTTCTCCTCTTTGCATGCAAATATCTCTGCCAAACCTACGCCTTGGGAGATCTTGCCTTTTGCACATTTCATAATAATTAAATTTGTGACCAATTGCCACTAATTTCGTCAAAATCGGAGAGCATAAGCTGGCAGACTTTCTTTCTAAGTCAATAAGTACCACAAAAAGCTGGGCTCGTTACGTCAATAAATTTTTGCAATATAGATGAATACCACGGGAAAAATGGGCCCATGCAGGTCAACACTCAGTCATTCGAACCACAAATGGAAGACTGGATAAAATCTGGAGAGGAGCTCGGGTTCAAAAAGACGGATCCTAATGCCAGACAGACTTCCGGTTTGTTAAGTAGTTAAATCAATTGGAAATTTAAAATTTCATCATTTTTTACCTAGGCTTCTTCCCATGCGATTTTACTTTAAGCAACGGAAAACGATGGGGTGTTTATGACGGGTTTATTAAACCTGCATTAACCAGGACGAACTTGAAGGTGTATCGATATGCTCGCGTACTAAAAGTAGGAATTTTATGACTACTAATTGCATTTTCTACGATAAAATAATATCCGTCTTTCATAGATTAATTTGGACGCTCAGAACCAAGCGACGGGAGTTACTTATCTCCGACATGGGCGATTAGTGGTTGTTAATGCGACGAAAGAAGTGATTTTAAGCGCAGGAGCGGTAGGATCTCCACATTTGCTTATGTTATCCGGCATTGGTCCTGCCACCCATTTAAAATCTGTGAAGGTAACGATTACACCTTCCCCACGACTGCTTTGTTGAGTTCATACGTATTTTAACCAAAACTATGTCAGATAGAACCAAAAGTCGACCTTCCCGGTGTCGGACAAAATCTTCAAGATCACGTTAGCTGCTTGTATGGTCCATTTATACTCAATTCGACCGAGTCATTCATTATGTCGAGAGATCTGAAATTTTCGTCCCTCATAGAATATGCAACGCTTGGAATTGGTAAAAATATGTACTTCCTAAAGCGATAGGATTTTAGTTTCAGCAGTTTTGGACGTCCAAAACTACTTTTGACTGAACACCATCCAAAAGCGTCTAGCACTAGAAAATGGGATAAATATTGCAAATTCTTTATTAACAACTTTTTCCAAATCTATGTACAGATACTTCTCTCGAGCATCTTGGTTGGTGTGTAATACCACGAAATTTAGTAAAACTTTTGTCTCAATATTAGTCAATATGTTTTCTTATGAGAAATTAAGAAATGTTCTAAAAACCATGCCGTGTTATACAGCAAAATGCTCAAAATTAATTGGAGATCACATATCACATGTACACTGATCTAAACATTTAATAATGAAGAAGTTGAAACATTTTGCCCCATTTTCTGTTTTAAACACTTTTTGATAATTTTGATGTCCAAAACTGGTTAAAACTGGGTTTGGACAGTGATTAAAACCACAACAAAACGAGTTTATAATCCCCTCAGGTCCACTCTCCTGGACCTACGTCTCCGGGCTGGGCTTAACTCACTCTTCACTGGGTGACCCTGACTGGCCTGACCTCGCCTTGACTTACATCCCGTTGGGAATTTACCCCACAATTCATAAAGACGTCGCTGCATTTTTTGGCCTGAAGGAAAGTCTCGTCAACGACTACGTGTCAGACTTTCACGACAAGGATGCCAACTTTATTTTGGTGTATAATGGACTGCCGAAGAGCAGAGGGAGCATCACGTTGAGAAGCAGTGACCCCTTTGATGCACCTTTGATTGACCCAAAGTACTTCAGTGATCCAAATGATATGAAAGTCATGATTGATGGTAAAAAAATCCACAGTGCAGACTTGTTTAGCCTGAGTCAGGTTGTTCAACTAGATTATAATTGAGTTGGGTTTATATGACCACTACAACTTTTTATTTTACGAAAGTTTTTACCCATCTTCGAATTTGATTCATAATTTTGCATATTCACAAAATTTAAAGTCAGTTGGATAGGTAATCGATAGACAGACAACCATGACGGGTACACAAGCACTGACTCGGGCTAAAAATTGGCAAATATTAGAGCAAATATTAGTTCTGAAGTCAATTATGTGCATATAAAAATATTTTCAGGATTTAAGTTTGCCGTCAAACTTTACGAGACGGCCAACACGTGGAAAAAATACAATGCTTCGCTCGTCAAGAAACATTTTCCTGGGTGTGAAACTCACCCTTTGCAGTCAGACGCTTATTATGAATGCTATATTCGACACGCAACGGGTAAATTTTGTTCAAAAATTGATATCTATGGGGTCGCCAACAAATAAGTAAATAACTGGCAACATTGTGTAATACATAAAGCAACAATGTGGCATCCGACAAGTTCGTGCAAAATGGGGAATGAGAATGACCCCATGACCGTGGTGGATTCCAACCTGAGGTGGCAACCTGTCTGTTTAACGTAAAACTCGATGGTTCATCGCAAAAAATCGTCAAAACCAGCATATTTATAATTATTTCTCCGCTCAGGGAATTTATTTAAAAATTTTGGATCGCAAATTTGTAGAGAAGCTCGTTGTTAATATCTAAAAATATAAAGTCCAGATTTTGACAGTTTTTGAAGGAACTGATCTAACAATACGATGGTGTGTAGTGTAACCTTCTGATGTATTGAAATTTGTTTTGAAATTTCGAAATTATGTGGTCCATGTCAATACAACCAACGTTTCTTCAAGCAGTTTGTGCGATGGTCAGAATTTGGCAAACTATTCGAGGTCAAAGTTGAAAAATGGGCGATGCTTCCTACCCCTGGTTAAAATCGTTCGTTTTTGAACTTTGACCTCAAACATTTTGACAATTCTGACCATCGCACAAGCTGCCTGAAGTTGGTGTATTGACATGGACCACATAATTTCAAAATTTCAACCAAATCGGAGGGTTACACTTCACATCGCATTGTAAGGATGAGTTTAAAGCACCTCTTCAAAACTGGCTGGAAAAACTCACCGTCATTCTATAAGTAAGTTGTTTGCCATCCAGAATTTTTAAGTAAATTTGCAGAACAGACAAATGATTACAAATTTGTTGATTTTGACGATTTTGGGGATGAGCCATCGAATCCTGCGATAAGATTTAAGTTATGTACAAAAATACGCCAATTATTGAAATATGATTGATTTGTAGAGTCAGAAAAGTGGCCGGTCTTAGGATTGCAGATGGTGAAAATCTGAATTATTATTTGCTAAATTAGTGTGCTAATTAATTATTTTTGTAAACCTAGCCGAGTTAATTAATTATTGTTTTTCTTAGCTTCTATCATGCCGCAAATTACCAACACCAATACAAACGCTCCATGCATCATGATCGCAGAGAAAATGTCAGCAATCATTTTAAAAACATGGGGCTGATAAAAAATAAGAAATACAAATCCTTTTTTTTAGACAACTGAATAGAATTTTATTTAGTATCGATAAACTATGAAATACGCTTACAATGCAAGTCTTTTACGTGTAAAACTCCGATCTCAATGGGACCAATTTTATTTCACCACAAAAAATAAGCATACCGGAATTATTTTTGCACTTTTCCTAATGCGCCGATTTGAGCGCGAGGTGCGAATTTTAAACTGTTTTCCAGCCAAAACCTCGATTTTTAATAATTCTCTAAATTTTCGAATTTTAGCGCGAATCAAAAAATTCGAAAGCATGCATGTCTCTTCAGAATGGTCTACCTGACTTATAAAAAATTAAATTGTCTTGAAATTTGAATTTCAGAATTTTTTGCCAATTTTTGAAAATTATTAAAATTACAAACTAGCCAATTACAAAAACTAGCTAATTACAAACAATTACAAAGTTAAACTACGTCCAATTCATGTTACTAGGATGGAACAGACATAGGTGGGCGACTAAATGACCATGCCTGGGAGGTTGTCTTTCCTACAGATCCAAAGAAAATGGCAGTTCTTGGGCAAAATATTACAAAATTTGGAAATTTTGATTTTTTTAGCAACTCTCATAAGCTGTAGGGTTGCGATCACTCATGATATAGACGCGTATTTTGGTGTCCATGATTGCCGGGGACTCAGATCTGATGGATATATTAAGACAGAGGAGAAAAGACAAAATTTCCGAATTTTGCCAAAGTTGATAGGTCTTTGATCAGAAAACTTTTGATCAGAAAAATATAACATGGGATTTCCCATAAGGAATTGGCCAAAATTACGAAAAATGGCAAAAGTCTCACCACCCGCGGGAAGGCTCATATTTTGCACATATATTGGTACCCACTAACCCTTGTTTTTTAGTAGAAAAAAGTTTCAACTTTTGCTTTGATATGTCTCGAAATTAACAAAAATGTCAATTTTTGGTAAATTTGGAGCACATGCCAAACGTTTTCAATAGGTCACACCGACCCGAATCACCTATTTTTTTGGTCTACATAATATTGTTAGGATATGAATTCACCCATAATAATACGATTTACATTTAATACGTCGGTGCTTTAATTGCACGCGACGTGTGAGTCAATAATAAGATGTATGCATGAGAAACGTTGCAAATACCGAAGAGTTATGTATGTGTTGTTGCCCCGTGGATAAGCAAGGGCAACTAGGTAGTTAAGATGATGTAGTCAAGGGTGATTCACTACCACCACCACTTCTTCACTCAGTCAATAAATGAGCAAGTTCTACATAGATATCATCTCACGATATCCTTTCTTTGTCTGAAGCAACTTTGTGTGAATGCTTGTTCTTTATTGAATTATGAATCTCTGTGTCTAATTAGTAAACGTGGACAATGTTGCTCTCCTTCACTTGACCCACGCTTTATTCCAGTGATAATGCGTGCAATGTTAAATGTATGTAATTCTAGTCTTAATTAAGTAATTCAGCTTTAGGTAGATGATTAAATCGTCGTTTTAGTTTAATAGAGCCGGCTTATGACCCGGCAGTCGTGAATTGGAGTGTGAGAGCAATACATCTTTGAATACACCCATATGATCTTTCAAGTACTGCATTGTTCATCTTTCCCCGCAAATAACCGAATTCCACTGCAAACGCACCCGTGCATAATCGTTTCAAACAATATTCCAGACAGAAATTGGCACATTTCAACAATTTAATTTTTCACCCTCAAAAGACCTAAGGGGTACCCCATTATTGTTTGGAATCCTGAAAAAATTGTTATCGAATTTCGCGGGCAAATGGTGACCAAAATTTGCCTATGGCATCCAGAAGTTGTCTCCAGAGAAATGAGCCAGATGTAGTGTGACCCCGAGCTGAGGGTCATCTGCTTGTTTTTACAAATTTTCCAAAATTGCAACGCTTTCCGGAGCGTTCCGAGTTGTACACGTGTTCCGGGTCGTGTTCCTGGATGTTCCTCATGTGTTCCTCGGTGTTCCTCATGTGTTCCTCAAGGAACAAGCTTGGAACACCTTGGAACACGTGTTCCGGGTCGTGTTCCTCGATGTTCCTCATGTGTTCCTCGGTGTTCCTCATGTGTTCCTCAAGGAACAAGCTTGGAACACCTTGGAACACGTGTTCCGGGTCGTGTTCCTCGATGTTCCTCATGTGTTCCTCGGTGTTCCTCATGTGTTCCTCAAGGAACAAGCTTGGAACACCTTGGAACACGTGTTCCGGGTCGTGTTCCTCGATGTTCCTCATGTGTTCCTCGGTGTTCCTCATGTGTTCCTCAAGGAACAAGCTTGGAACACCTTGGAACACGTGTTCCGGGTCGTGTTCCTCGATGTTCCTCATGTGTTCTCGTGTTCCTCATGTGTTCCTCAAGGAACAAGCTTGGAACACCTTGGAACACGTGTTCCGGGTCGTGTTCCTCGATGTTCCTCATGTGTTCCTGGATGTTCCTCATGTGTTCCTCAAGGAACAAGCTTGGAACACCTTGGAACACGTGTTCCGGGTCGTGTTCCTCGATGTTCCTCATGTGTTCCTCGGTGTTCCTCATGTGTTCCTCAAGGAACAAGCTTGGAACACCTTGGAACACGTGTTCCGGGTCGTGTTCCTCGATGTTCCTCATGTGTTCCTCGGTGTTCCTCATGTGTTCCTCAAGGAACAAGCTTGGAACACCTTGGAACACGTGTTCCGGGTCGTGTTCCTCGATGTTCCTCATGTGTTCCTCGGTGTTCCTCATGTGTTCCTCAAGGAACAAGCTTGGAACACCTTGGAACACGTGTTCCGGGTCGTGTTCCTCGATGTTCCTCATGTGTTCCTCGTGTCCTCATGTGTTCCTCAAGGAACAAGCTTGGAACACCTTGGAACACGTGTTCCGGGTCGTGTTCCTCGATGTTCCTCATGTGTTCCTCGGTGTTCCTCATGTGTTCCTCCAGGAACAAGCTTGGAACACCTTGGAACACGTGTTCCGGGTCGTGTTCCTCGATGTTCCTCATGTGTTCCTCGGTGTTCCTCATGTGTTCCTCAAGGAACAAGCTTGGAACACCTTGGAACACGTGTTCCGGGTCGTGTTCCTCGATGTTCCTCATGTGTTCCTCGGTGTTCCTCATGTGTTCCTCCAGGAACAAGCTTGGAACACCTTGGAACACGTGTTCCGGGTCGTGTTCCTCGATGTTCCTCATGTGTTCCTCGGTGTTCCTCATGTGTTCCTCAAGGAACAAGCTTGGAACACCTTGGAACACGTGTTCCGGGTCGTGTTCCTCGATGTTCCTCATGTGTTCCTCGGTGTTCCTCATGTGTTCCTCAAGGAACAAGCTTGGAACACCTTGGAACACGTGTTCCGGGTCGTGTTCCTCGATGTTCCTCATGTGTTCCTCGGTGTTCCTCATGTGTTCCTCAAGGAACAAGCTTGGAACACCTTGGAACACGTGTTCCGGGTCGTGTTCCTCGATGTTCCTCATGTGTTCCTCGGTGTTCCTCATGTGTTCCTCAAGGAACAAGCTTGGACACCTTGGAACACGTGTTCCGGGTCGTGTTCCTCGATGTTCCTCATGTGTTCCTCAAGGAACAAGCTTGGAACACCTTGGAACACGTGTTCCGGGTCGTGTTCCTCGATGTTCCTCATGTGTTCCTCAAGGAACAAGCTTGGAACACCTTGGAACACGTGTTCCGGGTCGTGTTCCTCGATGTTCCTCATGTGTTCCTCGGTGTTCCTCATGTGTTCCTCAAGGAACAAGTTTGGAACACCTTGGAACACGTGTTCCGGGTCGTGTTCCTCGATGTTCCTCATGTGTTCCTCGGTGTTCCTCATGTGTTCCTCAAGGAACAAGCTTGGAACACCTTGGAACACGTGTTCCGGGTCGTGTTCCTCGATGTTCCTCATGTGTTCCTCGGTGTTCCTCATGTGTTCCTCAAGGAACAAGCTTGGAACACCTTGGAACACGTGTTCCGGGTCGTGTTCCTCGATGTTCCTCATGTGTTCCTCGGTGTTCCTCATGTGTTCCTCAAGGAACAAGCTTGGAACACCTTGGAACACGTGTTCCGGGTCGTGTTCCTCGATGTTCCTCATGTGTTCCTCGGTGTTCCTCATGTGTTCCTCAAGGAACAAGCTTGGAACCCCTTGGAACACGTGTTCCGGGTCGTGTTCCTCGATGTTCCTCATGTGTTCCTCGGTGTTCCTCATGTGTTCCTCAAGGAACAAGCTTGGAACACCTTGGAACACGTGTTCCGGGTCGTGTTCCTCGATGTTCCTCATGTGTTCCTCAAGGAACAAGCTTGGAACACCTTGGAACACGTGTTCCGGGTCGTGTTCCTCGATGTTCCTCATGTGTTCCTCGGTGATCCTCATGTGTTCCTCAAGGAACAAGCTTGGAACACCTTGGAACACGTGTTCCGGGTCGTGTTCCTCGATGTTCCTCATGTGTTCCTCGGTGTTCCTCATGTGTTCCTCCAGGAACAAGCTTGGAACACCTTGGAACACGTGTTCCGGGTCGTGTTCCTCGATGTTCCTCATGTGTTCCTCGGTGTTCCTCATGTGTTCCTCAAGGAACAAGCTTGGAACACCTTGGAACACGTGTTCCGGGTCGTGTTCCTCGATGTTCCTCATGTGTTCCTCGGTGTTCCTCATGTGTTCCTCAAGGAACAAGCTTGGAACACCTTGGAACACGTGTTCCGGGTCGTGTTCCTCGATGTTCCTCATGTGTTCCTCGGTGTTCCTCATGTGTTCCTCAAGGAACAAGCTTGGAACACCTTGGAACACGTGTTCCGGGTCGTGTTCCTCGATGTTCCTCATGTGTTCCTCGGTGTTCCTCATGTGTTCCTCAAGGAACAAGCTTGGAACCCCTTGGAACACGTGTTCCGGGTCGTGTTCCTCGATGTTCCTCATGTGTTCCTCGGTGTTCCTCATGTGTTCCTCAAGGAACAAGCTTGGAACGCCTTGGAACACGTGTTCCGGGTCGTGTTCCTCGATGTTCCTCATGTGTTCCTCAAGGAACAAGC